CCCTTTGCACTGCTCAATGTCCTATTAAGAGTGATGAGTATAGCAATTCCTAACCCTAATTCTTTGCAGCCAGTCCATCCAATGAGGGAGGGAGGCAGTCACATGAATACAGCAGGGGCAGAGCTGCCAAGGCAGGTGCTTTCCTGAGCTCATGGGAACCCCTTGACAGAGCCTTCTTGTTGAGGGGGAAAAAAGACTGGCAAAGACACCATCCCAGAGCAAACAAAAAGCTTGGCTCTGAAATGCCACCAAAGGTAGCAAATTCAGCCACAGTGAGCTTACCAGTGGAACTAAGAACAACTTTGTGGTGGGGACATGAGGCATCCCATGGCATCTCAAAGTTGAAGGTCCTGAAGGCATTACTTGTTCTAACAAAGCATGAGCCCAACTTTTCATTTAATGTTTATTTGAAAAGTGGTGAGTCTTCCATGCACTAGCTCACTTGCCAAGTGCTGACAACAGCCAGGGCTGGACCAGAAGCTAGGAACCCCATCCTCATCTGCCTCTCACATGGATAAACGCTCAAGGCTTGGGCCGTTTTCCACTAGCTTCCCAGGCACATTTGCAGGAAGTGGATTGAAACACAGAGCAGCCACAACTCCTGCAACATCAGATGCTGGAATCAAAAGGGGTAGCTCAACACTAGTCCCTGAACCCAGAATGATGCACCAGGTTATACTAGACTGCCTTTGTAGGGACAAGATACTTTCTGGCAGAATCCAGCAAATAAATTGTCCACAGGTTAGTCACAACAGCCAACATTCACAACTAAGTGCTTGACACCACACTATGGATGCTGCCACGCTGTTCCCATCCCCACTCTACATTACCAGTGTCCTGGAGTTTGTGGTTTTGCTTTTTCATGCACAAATGCCCATCCTAACAACAAAAAAAATTTTGCTGGCAGGCTGGGCTCCTGGACTGACATAAAAGCAGCTACCTGGAAGGCTTGTATCTCAGAGGGTGGAGACCTCCCTGCCCAAGGCTGTCAGCTCAAGGTCCAGTTCAACAGTGAGAACAGGAAAGACAGCTGGACAGCCAAAGCCTTAAGTGAAACCAAACTGAAGGCAAAGTCCTAGTTCTCTGAAAGCTCCCACTTTCTTAGCAAGGTTTAGAGTGCAGAGCCTCAGAAGCCACTTGAACATGAGTGCTGCAAGAAGCACCGACTCCTCTCTGGCGAGCCTCCCATGGGTCTTGCAGCAGGCCTCTGGGCGGAAATTCCCCCACTACCAGCCCTCACTTTAATTCGGCCAGGCAAAATCCTCCTCTCTGGCCCAACTTTTTGTTTGCAACCATAGGCTGCCCTCCAATTCTTTCTCTGGAAAATCAAATACACACCACCCTGAGAGTCTTCCTTGCGAGGAGCACTTACCCTGGTATGCGCTCCAGGTGTCCTCCTTGCCAATTCCTGGAGGAACACCACCAGCCAAATGCAGGTAGCTGAGTAGGCCAAGGGCTCACGTGTTGCTTCAGCTGCTGAGCTCCCTTCCAGGTGTAAAATGGAGCCTCCTAAAGCCCGGATTCCTCTCCTGGAAGGTGTCAGAGTCCTGCAGGGAAAGATGCTGCTGGGTTGGCTTGTGGAACATTTATGACACACCGAGGGTGTTCAGCTTCCGAATACTCCTTATTCTCATAATTCAGAGCTTTTTCCACTTCTAGCTGTTGCAACACAAAGAGATGTAATAAAAAGGAATCTCATGTCTTCCTCCTCCTCCGATCAACTCCTGCAAGTTCACTGTCATAACCCATGTGGACAGACCTCCTTCACCCGCTAAACTAGGTAGGATTTCTCCTCAGTATTGACAAAGTCTTTGGCCAGGACCTGTTTGCAAATACATTTCCAGCTCTCGTGTACTCCTCTACAACCAAAACAGACATTTTTTTTTATTGCAAAGTCAGATATACAGAAAAAGGGAGAGACAGAGAGGTGAATCTTCCGTCCAATGATTCACTCCCCAAGTGACCACAACAGCCGGAGCTGCGCCAATCCGAAGCCAGGAGCCAGGAACTTCCACCAAGTCTCCCACGTGGGTGCAGGATCCCAAGGCTTTGGGCCGTCCTCAACTGCTTTCCCAGGCCATAAGCAGGAAGCTGGATGGGAAGTGGGACTGCCAGGATTAGAACTGGCGCCCATGTGGGATCCTAGCATGTTCAAGGCGAAGACTTCAGTGACAAGGCTACTGTACCTGGCCTGAAAATAGACATTAAAAAAAAAAGTTATTTGTATTGGAAAGGCAGATAAACAGAGAAAGAGATGCAGAGAGGAAGATCTCCCATCCGCTGGTTCACTCCACCAGTGTCACAATGGCTGGAGCTGAGCTGATCTGTAGCCAGCAGCCAGGTGTCTCTTCTAGGTCTTCACGCGGGTAAAGGGTCTCAAAGCCTTGGGCCATCCTCTACTGCTTTCTAGGCCACAAGCAGGGAGCTGGAAGTGAATGGAAGCAGCCGGGACACAAACCAGTATCCATAACGGATCCCCGTGCACACAAGGCAAGGATGTAGCTCCAGGCCATTGCATTGGACCCCAGAACAGACATTCTGAGAGAGGACTTGAAGAATGAAACCGACTGCTGTGATGGGAGCATTTGTGGTCTTACCAAACAATCAATCAAGCACCTGCCTCACTGTCAGGTACAGTTGGAATTCAGTATTTCCTGAATGCATAAAAAATGGAGCTGACTTGCTAGCTTAAAAAGCGAGGCTTCTAGTGGGAGGCATTTCACCTTGGTGAAGACGCCACTTGCAAGGCCTGGATCCCTCACTGGAGTGGAGTGGAGTGCGTGGGGCTCGGTCAGCTCCTGATGAGCACCGGGCAGATGGGGCTGGGGTCACAATTTAGGGCTTTGCCCTCCACGTGCGAGACCATAATGGAGTTCTGGGATTCTGGCTTTGACTTGGCCCAGCCCCATCTGCTGTGAGCCTCAGGGGAGTGAATTAAGGTTTTAGAAAATAGGAAAATTTTTAACCTACTCAGAAGTTAAGACCTGACAGTTTATACTTCGAATTAATCCAGGAGACATTCAGCCTGTGGTTTGAGACTAGTACAATATAGATGCTCTTTTTGGGAACAAGGTCAATAGCTACATCAGAAAATATTAAACTCCTTCTAATCAGAAGAATTTCTGTTAAAAGTTTCAGTACCTTTTCATTAAACACCAGAACTTGAATAAATGTATTTTCATGTGTTGCTATGTTTCTATGATCTTCCTTAAAAAAAAACCTGTGACTCTCTAGTTGTCATGTGTATGTTCGCTGTGGTTGGAATAGACAGCGTGAATGAACCAAGTATCTAATGCCCCAGTAGGTCGAAGAAATGTTGGCAATATGCCTGCAATGAGCACGTGGAAGGAGCTGGTTGACAAGCCAACAAATTTTATTGGGCAATCTAAGCTTTTATCTATGCAGAAGCACATCAATGTTTACACAACTTTTACACAAGAACGAAAAAGAAAAAAACATTTAACCTAACAAATCAGTTTACACACATTACCAGTAAAAAGAAACACAGTAAGTCAATGCCTTGTCTTCTTACATTGTCATCACTGTTACTCAAATCACAGACAAGTTGCCAAATATAAACTTTAGGGCCAGCAGCAAAGTCAGCTGGCCCATAATCCTGAACATGTGAGTTTACAAGAACTGAAAGTTACCTATGTGCCCAAGAAAAACAGATGCTTTCACTTAGCTCTTTACACGTCAGGAGCTGTATTTGGGCTCAGAAAACAGCAGCTTCTGCCTACAGGGAAAATTTCAGCAACTGCAGACTTGAAAGGGTATGCAGACAGGGCAAAAAGGGCAAGTACTTTTCCCAGCAAAGGACAGACTCCCAGTGAATGCCGGGCAGCAGCAAGCTGATGACATCAGAGCAGATGGGGAAGAGGAATCAACGCAACCTTTGTCATGTGGGAAAGGCAGGTGATGGAGGGTGTGGGGAGGATCTCACCAGGAAGTAGTTCAAATCTACGGAGCACGCGGCATCTCCTGTAGCTACGGCCGAGTTATCTGGTACCTTTAAGTCACGAAATGACAGAGCACAAAGGCCCCGTGGAGCCCTTCCCAGGACTCCCAGGAATTTCTTAATGCAAGACTTATTTGTTGGGGAGGGAAAAAAAAAAAAAAACAACCTTCCATACAATCTAACAGTAGAATGATAGGCAAGCAAATGGATGCATTGAAGACCGTCAGAGAAAAAGCAAAGTTCCAATAACCAAAGCCACAGACGTCATCCTTTCTGAGTCTAGCCTTCACTGTTTCTTCTCCATTGTTGATCTTCAAGAGAGACTGTCTGAAAGAGAAAGGACAACTCCATCACCACAGTTCATTTCTACGTCAACTGTAAGCAATCAAATACTCTTAAATACTCACCAAATTAAGTCAAAACTTTGAATTGATAGTTAACTATGACAGTGGTATATGTTACCTCTAGCTGTTTATAATCCTCATCAAAAATATAAAATACAGCTCTTTGCACATCCTTCAAATACAGGGAACATGTACGTTAATTTGGGTGTTGAAGAATTTATTCTCACTTTTAAACAATAAAGCACACAAGATTTTACGTTGTCACCCCCACAGCATTGCTACTTCAGTAACATCAAATTAAGACAGATTTTTCCAATTTTAATCACATTCAAAGAAGCATCATTTAAAGATGAGAGTATTCAACTGCATTCTCACTACAATGAAAGGTATATGGGTACCTAGTTTTTCTAATAATACAACCTCTTGATTTCATACTCAATGGAACTGGTACAATCTACAAAGACCCTGTAGCCTGCCATGCAGGGAGCAGCAAAGGGAGGCAGAGAGAACCCTGCCTTGGTCTGCAGCAGAGATTCCGGGCACCCAAGGCAGTCCTGGGACCTCCCTAAGCATGCTTCCTCAACAGGAAACAGGGGTCTCCTTTCTCATCAAGGGCATTGTGAAGGCTAAGTATGTGACAGGTCTCTATTTGCTTTGGGATCATTGTTGAAGCAACAGAAATAGGAAAACTAACTTACTTAACTTTTTAACAGCTTTTTCATCTCAAACAACTTAGTTTGGTTGGTTGGATTGTTTAACAGGTAAAGAAGAATTTCTTCATGTTTTTCAACCTATGGTGGAAAAAAGAAATAGCATAATGTAGTTTCTGAAACTGTTAGGGGGAGGATGAGTTCATTTGAAGGAAAGCTTACTTGTTTCTGCAGTTCTGTACAGCAGCAATTCATTCTGTGTGTCTTTTCTAAAAGCAAATGTGACGAAAGCCGTTAGATGACACTCACTACAGGTAACAAGGAAGACTTTAGCATGGAACAAAAACAGATCTGCTGCTCATGCATGGTGTCAAACACAAAAGATCTGGAGTGAAGCATTTGGGATCTGCTGCTGTGGCCTGGTTTTACATCTCCATGGTTGCCTATCATATATAGAATCTGTCTTTTTAGTTGAGGGCACGTATGCTGAATAAAAATCTTTGAAAATACTAGAAAGACTCAATCCCAAATTCTGAGACATTCCTTTTCATCAGGATCAAATTTAAACTGGAAGTAAGGTACATGCACAACATCTTTCTTCCATCTCTAAGGCTCCTGACAGCAACAGTCCCCAGGGCAGTACTGTTAGCCTGACCTAACGGTGTCTGGGCCAGAGGGACTGCTGCTGGCAAGGAGCTTCCTGAGATGGCCACAGGGCCCTGAGCGCAGCCCCTAGGGTGTGAGAAGGCGGAGACAGGGAAGGTAGCCCATGGGGACTCAGCAAGCTTCTCTACTATTCCTTACACATACCCATGTCATCAGTGTCACTTAAAACAATACCTTTAGTGAATGTGCTGGGCTTTTTAGATGTGATATTTTTTGCCAGACCATACATCACCAGCTTATTAGCTACACTGACACTACCATTCTCCGAACATTTCTCAATCGAAACTGTGTGGACATTCTTAGTAATTCCTTTCACAGAAAGCATTACGTTCTGATTCAAGATGAAATTTTTCAGCAGCTCTATTATTAACTGAGAACAACTTCCATTAAATTCCATTAGTCCTAGAGGAGAAAAAAAAGAATTAGTCTTCAAGTCCCTTTAAAATGAATAACAAGCAAAAGGCTTACTGAATTTAGCTGCATTTGAGTAGGTTTTAGTGTTCTACTGATACTGGTTTAAGAGACTCAAACACATTCAATATATACTTCTTGATCACTGGTAAGATGTTATGCACTAACACGGTCTACAGGGCACAAAACAGACGCAATGCCTGTCTTCAAAATTCTTGGCAAATGCAAACAATTTTTAAAAAGATAATTTTTCAACTCTGTGTCCAAAGAATAAAAAGTAAACTATGAGGCAGACCATCAACGTTAATACCCAACAGGACCTCTGAGAAATCAGAGGTACAGTACAAGGCTATTTTATTTCAACTAACTTTGTGCAAATTCCAATGGAGACTCAAACATATGCAAATCTAATGAGCAAAGTAAGGCCACCAAAAACGTGTAATTTGAATTCCTGTAGTCCCTCAAGAGAGGCGTAATAAAGCAGAAACCCTAACTCCGATCCTGTTGCTGCCAGTTAACACCTGCATGGAAACCTGAGGCCAAACACAGTTCTTGAACCTTGGCACTCGGAAGTCAACCTGTGAAATGGACTGAATGACCAAATACAGTCCATAAGCAGTGTGAGAGTAAACTTTTGCTGTTGTTTTCTTGGGGAGAGGGGACAGGAGGTTCTGCTTTTTAAAAATTTTGATGTTTATATAGTTTATCAGGGTGAGAAGGGTGAAGGATCAGGGGAAAGAGGATGAAACCATTCTTTTTCTTCTTCCTGTATCTGGGGGAGAGGGGAATACAAAGGGAGAAGCCATGTCCAGCCTCCCAACTGCCTCAGTAACTCGAGGATGGGGAGCAGCCACATGATGTCATCCCAGGATCCCCATGGTAAAGTGTTTTCTGAGGGTTCTGCTCCAGCGACTTCGATGGTTCTGAGATGCTGCTGACATGACTGCTCCAAGTATCAGGAAATCCCTCCAAGATCCCTCTTGCTGACATAGTCCACCTCCATTTGCCCAGAAACTTGCTATCAAGCCTCACTGGGGTAGTTGATCAGTTTGTTCTGCCCTCTTTTCTCTGCATAGCAATGGATGCTGCAGCCCAGCCCAGCCTTGCTCACCACACTCACTTGGCTCTTATGTACCACAGGGGGAGCTGCAGCCCAGTCAGTGACCCCCAAACCACCACAACCCCCAGCTCTGGTTCCTGTGCCTGCCAGCATGTGAAGTGGACTGGTCTGGCCTGCCCCACATCCCATTCAGATCTCATATCATCATTGGGCTTTGAAGCTTTACTCAACCCAACCAACTCCAGCTCATACTCATGCCAGCGGGTAGTGCTAAGAAATTTCTTTGGAAACTACTCAATACTGAGAAATTTGGGCAGTTACTTCAAATATCCATTTAATTCAAACACCGAGCTGTGAAAAAGGAAAAGGAGGAAAATATCCATGGACACCCAAACTGGAAAGGGTCTTAATAATCTACCTTCAAGTGAACATCTGATAATTTGGAAAGGAAGCTCTAGGTGTCTGGCAGTGATTGGTTGTACTCTAGAAAGAGGCAGAGTTTCAGTATTTCCATAGTCTGCATACAGCACTCTCACATCATTGTCTGATGTCCCCAGAACAATTGCACGGTACCAGAGGTCATCACCTGAAAACAGAAAGGAGTCTCAGGTAAGACGTTAGTCAACAGGGCCCAGTGCAAAGGTGTAACGGGAAAAGCTGCTGCCTGTGGTGCTGGCTTCCTATGTGGACACAGGTTCCAATCCCAGCTGCTCCATTTTTAATCCAGCTCCCTGAGAATGACCTAGGAAAGCATCAGAGGCTAGTTTAAGTGCTTGTGTCCCTGCACCCCCTTGGGAGACTCAGAAGAAGCTCCTGCTCTGGATTGGCCCAGATCTAGCCATCCACAGCCATTTGGGGAACGAACCAGAGGATAGAAGATCTTCCTTTTCTGTCTCTGATCCCCTTCTAACTCTGCCTTTCAAATAAATCAATGTTTTTTTAAAAAGTTATATTCAGTAACCCCTTAAATTCATAGTTATACCACTTACACATTCATGTCAAGACTTGTGGTTAGAGTCCAAATGAATTATATGCATTCACCTTCAGTCCTTCCAAGTTCTACCAAAAGGACAATCAACTTTTTTTTAAAGCATAAAACTACAAGAGGGGAGAACAAGAGAGAAGACAACCTAACAGTTAAAGCTGGACACTTGAACAGAAATGAGTGAGCACAGCCAAGGCAGCTCCATGAGGCTGGCACTAAAGGAAGCCCCAAAGTGAAGCTGCAGCTCAAAGCCCCGAACCCTGATGCTCACGAGCTAGTACTCACTCCAAAGTAGGAGTAGACACAGAGTAGCACAATGGCAGAAAGCATCCTAGATTCGCCAAGATTGCAAGCTTCCTACTACCACATGAAGACACTAACAGTTCTAGAAAAAAAAATTATCTAGGTGCAGACTTGGGAGAGCCCAGAATGACACCTGTCTCTTGACTAGAGATACCAACAACCAAAACAATAAAAGTGATGCCTTCCAAAAGGTAAAGCGAAGAGGACTGCCAACCTATTGTTTAAGTATTTTAAATGTAACAAATAACAGAAAATCATCTTGCATGAACCTTCTCTCAGCTTCTGGTATATGTGATCCACCCAAATACTGGAATCAACCAAACAGCAATTAAAAGAAAATTAAGAATTCCAGAAAGCAATGAGGACAGAATCTTGCTGAGCAGGTGGAACAAGAGAGAACTCAGCCAAACAATAGTGGTCCACCCTACACTGACCATCGATCCCAAAGGTGTTGGTCAAGCCCTAAAGGACAAACAATGATGGTGCACCTGGCACTGAACGGATCCCAAGGGTGATGGCAAAGGCCACAGGGCAAACAATGGTGGTACATCTTGCACTGACTGGATTCCGAGGGTGATGGTGAAGGCCTCAAGGACAAACAGTCTGGACATGAGCAGCTTGTAAGCCTGAAGTGGCCTCTGACAGGCTCCAAATTCACAAAGCAAATTGACATGTATGCAGAGTACCAGAAGATTAGCCAAGTATACAGAGCCCCAACAACAACTAAGGTATCAAAGGGACACACAACACAGTACCAAAAATGACTCACTGTGAACAGTGATACAGAATGCTGCTCTCACCAAAAATCATGATTTGTCACACGAAGAGAAACAAAGCTATGCACAGATAGCAGCCAAATGATGGAGGAAGCCAAATGATGAAGTTCCCACGCTGCATCCCCCACCCTCAGGACAAGTCCGCAGCCAGGCACAAACTGAAAAACAGTTCTGAAAGCGCAGGGGAGCCAGAGACTGAGAAGGAAAGTCAGAGTCAACGGGGCAGACTAGACCACATCTGTGATGTGGGCTACTTCCCCAAAGCAGCCCTCTCCTGTAGGCTGAGCCCCACATCCTGCCAGCAGCCTCACCTACCCCGAGATTGACAGGAGCCATGTACAGCCATTCCCCCAGGCCTGCCAACCAGACCCAACAGTAGACCCTGAAGCAGCCCTGTGGCCTGCTCCAGATACACTTACTTTAATTCCAAAGGCAAGCTAGTATTCATGACACATATTCCTTACATTAGCAAAATGAAGCTGCCAACATGAAATATTTAAGAGAAGAATGGTTGAGTTACCCTCAAATGAACAACTGACTCCCCAAGCCATTTGATTTTACTAGTACATATCAAGTGTTATATATTATTCACAATATTAACACGTAAATGCAATGTCCACTGATTCACCACATAAAGTATGATTACCTAGAGCTAGTTATATGAACAGATTTGTACAGATGCATATATCTTTACCTAAAATTAATTTTGGGCCAGGATTGCAACACAGCACATTAAGTGTCCACTTGAAATACCAACATTCCCTATCAGTGCCAGTTCAAGTCTGAGCTACTCCACTCATAATTCAGGTTCCTGCTAATGCACTTGGGATAATGGTGGCAGGCAGCTCATGGACTTGGGCTGTTGCCACCATGTGGAAGACTAGGATGAAGCTCCTGGCTTTGGCCTGGCACAGACCTTGCTACTGTGGCCATTGCAGGGGGAGGGGAGGGATGTGAAACATGGGATGAAAAAAAATATATGTTCCACTCTTGTCACTCTTTCAAGTTATTAAATAAAACTTTCGAAAAAATTAAGAAAAGCTAACTCCAAAATATAAACACACAATACTACCTTTCTTAATCTGTATCCAATCAAATGAAATATGCATGTAATAATAAGATCTACACAATCTTACATAAAATACAGCACACTCAGTAATTCCCGCTTAACATTTTGTGTAAAATAACCTTACTTGTGTATCTGGCACAGCAGGCCTCTCCAGCTCTTGGTATGTAGCACGGTAGGCCTTTCTGAGCATTGCAGTATTCTAACAATTCAGCTGTTAGGCTGCACAGCTTTCTCTGGTTTTCTGAAAAGAGACAGAAGCGATGCTCTGGAAAATTCCCAGTGCCACCATCAGTGGCAGCACACAGCACAGGCTGGAGTCTCACTCATCAGACAGCCCTCAGCACATTGAAGCCTATTCAGAAACACACTTGGTTCTGGCTGCCCTGCGTTCAAGGGGTGGGAATTCTGGCAGGGGCCTGTAGGGAGAGTCTGGGGACTAGTTTCCTGATGCAGGTCATTGTACTACTGCGCTAGTGGCAGGAAAACTCACTGACTGCTATGGTTTACAACTCTTTGGTATACTTCGCAGCACGTTGTTCTTAATACTACTTGCAAGTCATCATAACCTAGGTTGTTGAAAGGATCAAATAATTTCAGTCATCTATTGATTATTGAATAAGAGATTTTATAATGCTAAAGATATATTTAATAGCAGTTATCTATTATCACAATTTCAGACTGGCAATTTGAAGTAGAGGTTCATTTTTTCTGCCTTAAAGTACCTGTAAATGAGAAATCCTTCAATATGCACTAAATCATGTTTTGATACTATAAGGAAAACCTCAAATATGTTCAAGAGATTCCTTAATTACAATCTCCCATGAAGCAATAAAAAGTAAAATAAAAAGGAAAACAACAGTTTTTACATGTTATTTTTTTCTTACTAGTGCTAGTGTGTAAGATATAGTAAAACTATGATCACGGATAACAAATTCAATATTCCTACAACTATCTTGTTCAAACTCACTTCATGGTTGTCGAGTAGAAATTCAGTAAACCCATTCAATACAGGTAACCTGTTTTTTACTAGCAGATGATAGAGTCATTCACAGGACATTATCTTGTTACATAAAGCTGTTGGTGGTTTTCAAGACCAAACTGCTCAGAGTGTGGAACACAGAGCGTCCCATCAAGTCCCATCTGTGTTGTGATAACTCCATGTGCCTCAGGTATTATGATCCACCATTCTTTTAAATAGCAAGTGACATAAAAACCATCAGATTCCTCTTCTCCCCTTCATTTCCTAAGGAATTCAAGACAAGCATGTTCCTTGCACAGTGTAGAACAATAGCATAAACGTGTATCCAGTTTCAGTGTCTTACCTGGCATCTCATTTGGTATAGCATAAAACAAAGTAGGGCTTATGATTTCTAATATGTTTGCTCGTATGGTTTTATTAATCGGCATTTCTATCGTCTTCCACTGCTCCTCTGAAGAGACAGCTGAAAATACAAGCACAGGTGAAACAGGCAAGGAATGCTCCTCTTCCCAGGATTGTAACTGTTGGACTTGATCATCAACCCCTGGTTTTCAGCATTTCTCTTTTCAAACTGCAATTAGGAACTCCACCTGAGAAATCCCATGTCATATTAAAGGAGTGTGAATGATTTCATTCACACAGTGTGTATGTTCATTTCCATGGTACATTTAGTATAATCCTTAAAATGTACTTAGACTTTATGGAAAACGCATTGTATGATATACATTTACCTGGTAACTAAACCAAAAAAAAAGTATACTTGTTCACCAGTTAAAGTCTAACATTAACTTCAAAAACTTATTAACTTATGTTCACAAAGCATATGTCTACAGGAAATTTTTTTGTCTTTTAGGATGGAAAATTTTTCAAAGCCTAGAAAAACAGAGATAACACATTTAAACACCAAATAAATGGTTTAAAAACATTACCTTGAAGCCTGTGGGTGTCAACATGAGGACCATGTTCATTTACAGGTGAGTTATTTGGCACGTCTTTATGTGGTGAACTGGCTTTTAAAGCTAGATGCTCATCAATAAGAATGTCACTAATTATTCTGGGATAAGAAGTAGAAAGATCCGTGAGTTCAAGTCCCACCCCGTTTTCAGTGACTTCAACCACTCTGGCTTGGAGCTTTACCCCTGCAACACACATCTGAAATCTTGCTATGGCTTCTTTAGTCCAATGTTCATTTTTAGGCTGTACATCTGGAAAATAGGAATAGCATCAGAAACAATTCTGTGTATATTCTGTATTTTTGCTCCAATAACATCCAGGAATGGGTCCTTTGCCAAATTTATCATTCTAGCAAACACTTGGCTAATTTTTCCTCCAATATTCAATTACACAACAGCATCCTCCATGTCCAAGTTATAGACAGTAACATTTGCTAACAAACTCTAGGGTTTTAAGAACAAAATTTTCCTTACCACTGCCCCATATCACGATCTAGTTTATTTCCAACAGCCAAAAATAGGAGTGTTCCTTTTAGACTGTCATTATATTGTTACACACACAATGATGAATTAGCAATTAAACTGGTAAAAGAAGCCAACTGATATACTTTTACTTCTGTGGACAATTTCAAAATGTCATCTTTAAATTACTTCAGCAAAAATGCCTTTTCTGAGATCATTTTGGCTTACACTTTTATTGTCTCAACAGGGGACCCTTAGCTCAGAGTACATGTGAACCACTCCGAGGTCTTCAAAGCACAGATCTGGGGGCCCACTCTCAGAGCTTACGTGTTGCTGCAATTTTAGCAAACGTGCTGCTGAAGCTAGCACCTACCTCAGAGCTTCTAATCTCATAAATCTGAGATTGGGACTGAGAATCTGCTAAACAAACAAAGCAAAAAATCCCATGTTGATGCTGTAAATTCAGTGCTCACGTGCTAAGAAACACTGGCATAAAACAGTAAGAATAATCCCAAACACAGACTACAGAGTGAGGAGTGCAGATGAGCAAAAGGAAAAAGTGAAAACAACTCTGCTCCCTGACTACATTAACATTTAGAACCCAACTTTGCATCATCTTTATGTGCAAACAGAAAAACACACACACACATGTTCTCTTAACACTTGAGGACAGCACTAGTATTATTTCTGATAAGGAAACAGAAGCACAGAAATCTGAGAAAATGTGCCTAAACATCTCTCAGCAAGTGGGTAGCAGAGTTGGTTTTGGAGTCTGGTCTATATCACAGTGGTGTTACTGCACCTTTCCTATATTCTGCCTTCAGCACTTAGCAAGGCACATGAAGAAGCATTACTAACAAGAACATTTACCAGCATTTTGATGAATGACTGTGAACCAACAGCCAACAAACTGACCTGAGCGCCAAGTCCTGTCCTACACCTGTGTGCAGCCCTCCCAGCAACCCTGTGAACACAGGATTCCTATTACCCATCAGTGCTGTGCCTCCTCACTGCATCAGTCCTGTATGACAGCTGTCTAGATGCTTCTGCTCCTGACAGCAGTGTGGAGTCAATTTCTCTGTAGCCAACCATGGCATGATTCCCAGATTTCTGTGGAATAAATCCCTGAAAGTATCACTGTTCAATTAAGAGAGGTGAGTAGCTCAAGTCTTGAAGGAAGCCTGCAAAATGCCTGCCAAAGAGGGCACCGTTACGCCCCCTCCCCAGCACTGCAGAAAAGCATCTACTCCAGGATCAACTACTGGGGACATTCTGACCAACACTTTCTAAAACGGCCTCTCTACATTTTGTAATATCAAGTAGGATCTTTCACCTCGAACAACATATTAAAATTTACAGATAGTAACAAAAGATTACTGTTTCATACCTACTAACCAGCACTTTACCCCCTGGAATGGAACTTGCAAAAAGACCGATGATATTGTTTGCAGTTCATTTACAGTAACTTCTTCGGTGTTTCCATAATCCACAAAATGTACTTTAACATTTCCATTTGGCAAGATTTCCTTGACTACTGCGCGATACCAGTTACCATCACCTAGATTTACCAGAGTTGGGGACAAAGAACATTGTGAAGTCCTCATCTTGAAATCAAGATATTCTTTTATTCAAAGTGGCTAATAAATCTACTCTCTCCCCAGGAGTGACAACAAGCCATGATGATGTCACCTTGTGCCTTGCTCTGTTCATTTTGCCCACTCTCCAGCTGCAACCAGTCTCTGATGAGGTGGGCCAACTGAGCAGAACACCCCACAGAGCTGCCCGCTCAGAGCACAGGGCTCCCACCCAGGCTTCCTTATGCTCTGGAAATTATGAAATCTTGCCTTTTCTGAAATTGTGGGCAGGCACAAGGCAGCAAATCTGTTGAATAGTACCTAGCCTGCCTGCCACCCTCACCTTACATGGAGCAAGAATTCTTGCCTTGTTCTTCAGTACTTGCCCTCAGTTTGAGGGTGGGAGGCACTCCATATTCCACCTCGACACTCCACTCACAGTCAGCTTCGCTTTTCATTCAAAAGTTCGTAGATTAAGATTTTGCAAAACCCATTTTCTTTTGCTGTATCTCTAAAATTTTTATAGTACCCAATATTTACATCAAATATAAATGAATTACTTCAATCATAATTTATCCAACAAACAGAATGAAGATTAGGTAAAATTCAATGAACCTGAATATATTTTCTTTAAGACTCAGCATGCTCCAACTCTGTGTTACGGCCTAGACTGGTTTAGGTTTCTGACTTGACAACACATAGTAGAAAAACTATTTGCAATGAAGCAAAGGTGTCTCATCAAACATATTTTCAAAATAAGCATGTACAAAGGGTCCAGAAGATACAGTGAACCTGCATGAACTGACATTTTAATATAAGATCTTCTAAAATATGAGATATTATAAATGAAGTTTATGTAAAAACAGGTCATTTGGAGTCTCCTTGCTATATCTTAAGCATTCACTTAGTCTTAGGTGTGAAAATCACATGCTTGAACATACAACAGAAAACAAAAGCTCAGAGTAAGGGCTGAATATCAAGAAACCAGGTTCTAACAGCCACGGTTATGCCAACTACAACTTACCTCCAAAAAAAGCACAGCAAGGCTGCCCTAATTCTGCCTTGAGCCCAGCATGCAACTTCCGCTGGCACTGTTCTGCAAGTAATTTGTTCAACTCACTGAGCTTCTGTAAGGCTGAAAATAAACACATATGCAATATTTAGCCTTAAAATCCAGATGCAGACTTTCAAAAAAAGACAGAAAATGTTTTGATCATAAAAATCTCAGCAGGTACATCACCAAACAACTGTTAAGTAAACTAAATTATATTCCTTAATTTTAAAAAATTATATATATTACAGGAAAGAAGACAGACTCTTGGTTCCTAGAATGGATTCCCAGCTCCAGTCCTGGGCTGCAGTTTCCCGTCAGCGTAGGCCTATGAGGCAACTGTTCCTGCCTCCCACGGGGGTGATCGGGGTCATGTTCCCAGTTCCCACTCACACCTCAGCTACTGCAGGGATTGGAGCAATGAACCAGGAGGTCAGAGTTCTTATTGTCTCTCTCTCATATATTTCTTAAAAAGCTCTTGGGTGAATAAGTCATTATTTCATTAATACTCTCGATAAGCCAACCCCAGTTGTGTACTGGCCCAGAAACAAGCTAAGCTTTAGCACTAGCATAGCACTGCATGAGCTCTGCAGGTGAATAAAGAAACAGCATGCAAGCCTGGTGAGAACGTCAGGTGAAAGGTATTCTGAAAGAAGGAATACACCTGCTAAGCAGAGTGCACAGATAGCATATTCTGAAGAGACTCAGATAGCTTGTAAGTTCTGTGTGGAGTCTTCCCAGAGAAATCTGAAATGCAATACATTTAACAGAAAAGACAAAGTATTCCAGAAGGAGGAAACAACTTTAAGACAAAACGCAAAATTTCAAAATTAGGCAGTCTCGGTTATAAAAAAAAGAATAAATAAATATATAACAAATAAAAAATAAAATCTAAATAAGTAATATATAAGAAGAATGAAATTCTACCATTTGCAGCAACATGAACTACACTGGAAAACATAACACTGAGAAACAGGCTGGACCAAGAATGACAAATATCACATGTTCTACCTTAAATGTGGGAGCTAAAATTTAAAAAAAAAAAAAAAAAAAAAAAAAAACGGCTTTTTACTCATTAAACTTATCTGGTGAACTATTAAGCCTTTTTATTATAATATAAATTTAAAATGCTATCTCCAAAACTTGAGACAGACAGACAACAGAGAGAAGGAAGCAGGTAGGGGGTGGAGGGAAGAAAGAAATGGGGAAAAAAGGGAATATCCTAATGTTGTTAAAATCATATCTAAAAATCACGCTGAATCTGTTAAAAAATATTGAAAATTTTACATTAAAAATAAAGGTGAAACAACAACAAGAGCCGACTAAGTGTGTAACCTAATCTTTCCTGGAAGCACAGACGCCACAGTTGCCTTTCTTGGGGAGAGAGTCCTTGGATCAAGATTAAGTGACAGACTCATTGGTAAAAAGAAATGAAGAGGCAACTTACCATCCTCGTTGAACACTTGGCAGTAGAATTCTCTCGGGCTGTACACCATACTGACCATAACATCCACCGTTTGGTCAGCAGCAAGTTCAACCCACATCCATGATGGTGCACTAGCTTTGCCTTCCATATCCAAGGGAGCTGTGAAAAGAAAGGAATGTTTCGCACAACAAACGGTTAGAGCAGCGCAGGGCCAAGACAGATGCAGTGGGCCATGGTGGAGGTTGCTGATGAAGTCTCCACTGGCATTCGCAGTGACTTTATAAGAAAGTTCATCTTAATCATTACTACTACACCAAATTTCAATTTTACATTTCTGGTTGATCTCCAACACTTCTGGTTTCAAGCACACTCTTACATGTAAATGTTGGGAAGACAAAAAGCGCTCAGCACGGCTCTGTGGGAACATGAGGAGCCACACGCTCACAGAGCCGCCCGAACCCCAGCTCAGACACCTGGCTGGCAGACACATCACTCACCGCTAGCTTCCTTCACGTCGCTGGGCTTATCTGTCATGATCCCGTTCTCCTCAGTGGCAAAGCCCGCATGTACGAGCACTTTGCCAACACTGATGTTGGAAGTCTCAGATTTATCTATCAGCTCTACCAGGGAGCTGGTTTGCAACTTGTCCACCACTCGCACCGTGATCATTTTGTTCTGCACAATCTTCTTCATGAGACAAACGGCTTCTGGAGTCCAAATTCCTAATGATGGCTTCACTCCTTACAAGTAAAATCGTGTGAAGACAATTTAGCTCCTAACTAACACAAAGTTAAACTTTGCCAGTTATGGCAAACACCTGAAAAGGATTTTCTGAACATGAACACAAAATCAAAATCAACAAAGAAAAAGCCTTTAAAAGTCTGTTCTTCTGCATAAAAACATGCCCTAATTCCATTCATGAGAGTTTTCCAGAAAGGCCAATCTTTTGAGCCCACCAAAATCTTAAGTACATTTATGAAAAATCAACTATATATCTAAAGTGTAAATTACAGCTCAATAAAGTTAAGAAAATCACAAAGTTTGAACCAATCTGGTAGGAAACATTGGCTCCTTGCATTAACACATGAGATATTTGCAGCATTTACTAACCGATACTGAAAGGGCAGCTACAAACCAACAACCCCCAGGTTATGCTTACGTCAGTTCATGAAATACAAGAGCCAAATGACTTCCAACAACATGTTCAGCTTCACTGGCACTGAAGTAAATGGAAATACCCTCTGCTTATCAAAACTGATCAAATACCACAGAAATACCCCTCTGGCACACAGATTTGTAAAGGAACTTCCACCCTCCTTCTACCATTTGTGTATGGATTAGTTGAACCATTTTTGGAGATCAGTGCAATAAAATGCATCACAAACATGAAAAGATGACTGGCTTCCCCATTCCACCCAGGGAACATGTCTTAAGGATGCATTTTTCAACTTAACTACAGTTTGCACTGATCATGAATATTTTGCAAAAATGCAGTTTAAAAAGGCTCTGAATGGCCAAAGCTTAGAAATATCGCTCTGAAACCATTTAGTCACACTGCAGTAAAAGTGAATGGAAGTGACTGAAGTCCATTAAGTGATGTGGAAAGACACCCCTGGTCTGGTGGGAGGGATCTTAGATACGGCAATTCCTTAGCATATGATCAGAATGTCCTTATGGTTCTGCCAAGTTCTCTCTTCCTCCAGTTTCTCTTCTCTTCATGTGAAGGCCTCAGTATTTTAAGACTGTGGGACCAAAGAAATGTCATACCTGCCAGCACACACTTTATAGCTTGCATTGGCAATTCCAACAACTTTGGGATAATGGGACAGAGTCTTGTCAAACTAATGATTTCAAAGTTTCCATAATCCACATAGCCAACCAGGACGGAATCTTCAGAAGCATAGGCCAGGACAGAGGCACGGTACCACTGATCATCCTCTGAAAAGAAAGACTCAGCTGCAAAGGATCCTCCAGTGTGGACATCAACAGTAACTTTTCCTGTCCACCTCAGAGGTGGTCATTTGTAGATTCCACTCTAAAAGAGAACATCAAGCTTTACCTGATAACTTTGTTTACTAACACTGCTACTTTGACTCTGAAGACTTCAACTCCTAAAATGTCACCTTTGTTAAAGGGTACCCCTGTAATTATGTCATATGTTGTCATAATTATGTCATATGTTTTCATTACCAATTTATATGCCTTTCCTCTGCAACAGATGGCTCATTAGGACAGAGAACACATCCTGATCGTATCAGCCCCCAAGGTCTTGATACATATGTCAACCAGCTCCAGGCAAGCAGGACCAATTTCAGAGCACTACAAATTACGTGCCAACCAGAACCCAATCAGTCAAACAACCTGTTTACTGGAACCTCTCCCTTCAGCAGAGATAAGGAAACCTGGTTACCACATGGTAAGACTTGTGCACCTACCAATGGCCAAGCCATGAAAACCTTATGCTGCCAGGCCTTCCTGCTATCCAAAACAAAATGAAACAAAAACAAAACAACCATGAAAACCCAAAAACCTGAAACTCCCAAGAATAAACTGAGAGGTTCCACAAGCATAGAGCATTTATAGACACAGAATGATCTCTGCCAGTCTCCAATTCCAAAGGGCTCCTTTACCACCACCATCCCTGACAGTCACAAGTCCTGTGCCCTTACATTAATGTGACTGACGAATCTTCAGATAAGACCATAGCAGATGCACTCTATTACTCAAGTGTCAAACGCAGTCAGCGCACACTTCAGGTTTTACTTTGACTGTTTTTACTAAAGTTTAAGTAGAGAATTCAGTAACATTCTTTCTTACCTGAGAACTGGGCACAGCATATATCACCAATGGTTGGATAAAAATCAGAGCGTCGAGACACTTGACCACAGTACTCACTAAGGGATGCCTGAAGTTCAGCAAGTTTATCTGTTGATACAGACCACATCTTAAACAAAAGGAATACACATCTGTACTGCATCTTTGTTTCTGCATGTTGAGTCTCTTAAAATATAGTATCTTGATCCAAGTCAGGAAAATGTACTTACGACCACTTTGTAATTGTTGACAAAAGAAGTCTTCTGGCGTTTGGATGTGGGCAACCACACCACAAAATTCATCACCTACATTCAAGGTTATCACTTTGGGGATAAGGTCACTTCTGTCAACAACAATTTTGTTTTCAACTGTCATTTTTCCAACATCTTCAGGATCACCTTGTCAGAGATGAAAAAATAAGCACTTTGGTGTGTTTAAAAGTAAGCTTAAGGAGTTACACATACTCTAGTCATCTTGTAGAAGACAGCATAAAAGCCAGCATCATGGTCTATCAGCAAAGTGAACACCTGTGGCGCATGCATCCTATATGGGCCCAATTTTGAGATCCAACTGCCCAGTCACAATCCAGCTTCTTACAAATACACTTGGGAAAGTAGCAGAACATGCACAAGTGCTTGGCTCCCTGTAACCACATGGGAGACCTGGAAAAAGCTGGGCTCCTACCCTCAGCCTGGCACAGCCCCCTCCATCTGGTGCTGGCATTTGGGAGTGAACCACTAAGATGGAAGATATTCTCTCTTCTCAGTTTTTGTCAAAAAAAAAAAAAGCAACCAAAACAAAAAAACAGCTGGCTGCAACTGGGCAAGGTCTCTGGAAGATGGCAAACAGAACCCATGGACTTTCTTTCTCCAAGTGAAAAATGCTTATAACACATTTTCAACATTACCAAAAAGCTACACTAGACCCTGAGAGAAAATCAACAACAAAAAACTCAGATGTAATGAAAAAAATCTGATGATATACTCTTTAGAGTTTCTGAAGAAGTTAAAGAAAATATATTTGGAACAACTACCCTTTCATGCTACTAACCCCAAACCACATCCAATTAGAAGTCATTCTATAGTAAAAAGATAAATCCCATAGGACTTATTATGGTAATGTTATAAAGTTTAATTATTAATCCAAAAATTTTTAAATGCATTAAACACTTTAAAAATGAACAAGCAATACAGGTAACAAGGCAAGCAGATTGAAAAATGGCTCAAGAAAAGTCTGAAGGCTTCAAGACCACTGAATATAAGAATGCTCAGAATGTAAGAAAACTTGCAGAACTACAAGGCCTACAAAATTCCAAGTTACCAAGGATCCTATTTCTGCTTGTTTATTTTGCTTTTTAAAGATTTATTTCTTGAGAAATGAGGGTGGGCAGCATGATAACCTAACGCTGAAGTCCTCACCTGCATGTGCCAGGATCCCACATGGGTGCTGGTTCTAATCCCTGCGATCCCACTTCATATCCAGCTCCCTTCTTGTGGCCTGGGAAAGTAATCAAGGACAGCCCCAAACCTTTGGGCCCTGCAGGTGGGAGACCTGGAAAAAGTTCCTGGCTCTTGGCTTTGGATCAGCTCAACTCCGGCCATTGTGGGCACTTGGGGAGTGAATCAGTGGATGGAGGATCTTCCTCTCTGTCTCTCCTCCTCTCTGTATATCTTCATTTCAAAGGAGAGACACAGAGGAAGATCTTCCATGCACTGGTCACTCCCCAAGGAACCTGTTTTCAAGAACAATATTAGAGAGACATCATGGCACCAATCTACCAGAATCCAGATGGACAAAGAAAAGTTATTGCCTGAAAGAATTAAAGATGATAGTATTCAGACAAAATAAGGGTCAACTTTCATTACTCAGGAATAAGAAAAACATAATCACTCAAATTATGAAGAAAATGCTCCTCAGGCCAAGGGAAAACTTTGAAAGGTCACCAAAAGCAACAGTATACAGGTACCTGTGAATGACCTCTTAGGTAGGGCATTACCAGGGATTTTCCAAGTCACACTGGAAATTCCACTGAGGCAGATAACACCCAAATACTAACCAGGGGGAAGTCGGTGACCTCAAGGTATGAAAGGCACAGAGAAAGGCTTTTAAAATACATATATATTTATTGATTTTTATTAGAAAGTCAGATATACAGAGAGGAGGAGAGACAGAGAGAAAGACCTTCCATCCACTGATTACTCCCCAAGTGGCTGCAATGGCTAGAGCTGAGCTGATCGATCTGGAGCCAGGAGCCAGGAATTTTTTCCAGGTCTCCCATGCCGGTGCAGGGTCTTAAGGCTTTTGGAGCTGTCATCTACTGCTTTTCTGGGTCACAAGCAGGGAGTTGGATGGGAAGTGTGGCCACCGGGACATGAATCAGCGTCCATATGGCATCCCAGTGCACGCAAGGCAAGGACTTTAGCCACTTGTCTACCATGCCAGGCCCAAGAAAGACATTTTTTTAAAAATGTTTTAAAAACATAAAATCCAGCAAGCAAGGAAGGCAGGTGAAAGGGAAGGTCAACAATGAGACCAATGCGCCCCCTGCTGTTTGACAGGGAAGGTCACCAAGCAGGAAGAATGCTGCACTAGCGTCAAGTGGCTTACATCCTGGGTCTTAGGGTAGTGTCCTGTACCGGCAGCCTCTATTTCTCCAGGTATAAACACGTAAGTTGGTAGTCTTGGTGGGCTGTCTCTTGGCCATCAGTGGCAGGCACAGCTGGGCCTGCAGGCCCTTAGAGGCACGTACTATCAGGATGTACAACCTGGTTTCCAGGGCTCAGCTGTGATAGTTGGCCAGCATCCGGGGGTGGGACAGGAGCACAGATCTGGCTGTGAAGTAAGAGTCTCATCTTCCCATCTCCTCTGTGCTGACCTCAGCAAGACGACCTTCATGAAGGCAATCCCACAGTGTATACGCTCAATTTCTCTATCCCTTCTGCTATGTGCCTTCACAACATCGGTACTCTGAACTCTTATCCATCATGGTTTCCCAATTTCTTGAACCCTAGTTTTATTGATTTTTCTTTACTTTGCACTATCTATACTCAATAGTTCCAACCATGGCCAGTACAAATAGACTATTAATTCTTGGTTTTCTCCTATGGATGGCAAAGAATTTCCAAGAGCCGAGTCTTCAGCAGAGCTGTCACACAGGAAGCACACACAGGAGGGTAATGGTAACATCATAAGATTGCTTCAATTGTCCATGAATGAGGAGGAGGATTTCTGAACCAAGGCGATGTGGTAGGGAAAGAAAAAATACGCAAAAGGTATTTGGGAACCAATAAGAACAAGCAATGGGAAATAAGAGAGAAGACCTATTACTGGAACAGGATGCACCCAAGCATGATATTATTAAATTAGTACCAACTTGGGATGAATGAGCAAATAGACAATAACTTATGTCTACACCTAAAGTAACTGGTAAAAGAGCAAACTGATGCAAAAACAACCTAAAAACAATGTATTGGACTAGGCTGTAAGAAAAATGCTCATGACAAGAGCCAAGGCTGTACAGCTGGCTCCTGCACTGCTCATGACACTGGCATGCCCTTCACAGCACCACTGAAGTCCCACTGCTCATGACACTGGCGTGCCCTTCACAGCACCACTGAAGTCCCACTGTTCATGACACTGGTGTCCCCTTCAGAGTACCGCTGAAGTCCCACTGCTCTGTTTCTGATTCAGGTTCTTACCCATGTGCCTGGAAAGGCAGCAGAGGATGTCCCAACCCTGTTCCTCACTTTGGCTTGTCCCAACCCTGGCTGTTGCAGTGATTTGGCCAGTAAACCAGTAAACAGAACATCTCTCTATATCCCTCTCTGTCCTCTATCTCTGCATTTTAAATACATTTTTTTTACTGGTTCTCTTATTAATCTTTTTTTAATTCCTACTTTCCATTTTTACAAATTTGCAGACATAGGGCTTCCTCCCTTCCCTTCCCCCACCCCTTTCTCCTTCCCTCTCCCACTGACCCTTGTATTTTGTGGTGAGACACTCCATGAGGTGTAGTCTCGACTCCAACTTTCTGCTTTTCACCTGGGCCATGACACTGATGGTACAGGCAATGGTAGAAAGTTTAATATTTTGTAGTCTAGGTATATTTAGAAGTTTCATTGGGAGCCTACTTTTATTAAGTAGTACAGATGCATTTGCCAACTTTCTTTGATTCCTGCTATTCTGGTATGCATTATATCCTTCAATTGTGAGATTACAAGTGTATGTTTATTTACCTTTACTTGTTGCTTTGTATTTTCAATGGAAATTGTCTTACATTAGAGAGAACACTTTATTTGTCCTTTGGGGATTGGCTCATTTCACTGAGACAATGGTCTCCGTTTGGGACCATTTGGCTGCAAATGGTAAAATACCTGTCTTTGCATTTTAAATAACTATTTTTGTAATGTCCATGGCAAAAATCTATTGGTTCTATTACTAATCTAAACACAAAAGAAACAAAGAAAGAAAACAAAGCAAGAGGGCTAGGCACTCCTGGGGACAGCCCTGTAATGCAGCAAGCTAATCTTCCACCTGTGCCTGTAAAAATCTGCCTTTCAAATAAAAATCCATACATCTTTTAAACAGAGAAATTTATTTCTTTTCCTTACTGATGAAACCCAAGCAAGGAAGAAAGACACATTTAACTAAGGAATGTGAGCAAATTAGCTATCCGTCTAAACCACTCTATCAAGGAGCAGTGTAGATGATAGGGAAGTTCAAAAGACAGAGAAGACCTTTAGAAAGTAAGCATCAGTGAATGCCATGTCCCATCTTTCTTACGTAGAGTGTACAGAACATCCATGATTAGTATGCAGTCTGCTCGGTGCAGTGGCTGTGCTCCTGGGTCAGACACAGGACACTGCAATAACTCAATCCCTGCACTGTTCAGTCAATCTGGAGACTCACCTTGATCTGGACTTGACTTCTTAGGATTTTGTCCTTGGGGCTTCAAGCCATATCCCATTTCTACAAGCACATGGTCTAAGAGTTTTCCTAATGTGTTGGAAAAAATACATACCTCCATTAAGACAGCATACAAAATATTAGAGAATGGATATAAGAAAACAAACACTTGACTGAGATCATAGCTATTAACATACTGGTGTATATTTTATGAGCTCAGTTTCTCTGGAGAAAATAATTTGGAACGACTACATTTAAAAACTGGGATAAGGCATGGTACTGTGTCACAGTGGGCTAAGCCACCGCTGGTGATGTCAGCACCTGGTGATGCTACTGCTTGTTTGAGCCCCAGCTGCTCTGCTTCCAATCTTACTTCTTGTTAATGTGCCTTAGAAGGCAGAAAATGATGGTCCAAATGCGTAGCCCTGTCAGGCATGCTGTAAGATACCTTTTTCTTACTCCTCCCCTCTCTTTGATGCTTTTTCAAATAAGCAGATTAAAAAACATTGAGGCAAAACATTTAAAATCATTGGACAGAGAACGTGTAAGATTTTATTTTATAAGCCTGAGTAAAAGAAACTTTACAAGCTTGCTTGGAAAGACCACCAATGAATACATTTAAGACACAGTTTACTTTTCCAGACTTACAAAGTGTGCCTGAAACAAGGGTTAGTCAACATGAATCATGTTATTCCCTGAAATAACACCCAAAAGCTAAATCATAACATGAAGCATAGAAAGACACAAAACACAGATTTTAAACTAGATTTCACAGCAGCTTAACTGCACTTTACCAAGTCATCTGTGATGCTGCACTTCAAAAATAGACAGCTAGTAGCTTGGAAACTAGGGAAATACTCATAATCCAAGAAGTCATTGAGCAATGGATATGAAGCCAGAATGAAAGACAATACTCCAAACTTTTCATTTCCACAACTTGGACACCACATACTACATACTAAAAAAACAGACTGTCCCTCCGGGGCTGCACAAAGAGAAAGTACTGATGGTAGCGACAGATGAAGGAGAAACCCAAGGCTTCTGCTCCACAAAGGAGCGGAAAGCAGCAGACTCTTCAGTGGTTTGTATTATAAAGATAAAACAGCTATCCTCACACTGGGGGTGAACCCAGCCCTGTTATAAGCTGCCTACTTTGATGAACTCATGCCATGTCTTTGTTAACTGCCAGCTGCAAGAGGGCGCAGACCACATTTCTGTCACACCCAGAATGACTACAGGGAGTTGCCGTGGCCTTGCTTCATGTTTCTATTGTCTCCCTTTATAACACACTGAGACAGCACATGGCACTAAGCACTCAACTGAAAAAGATGACGGACTTGGATCTTACCTGAACTTGACAGGGTAACCTCAACAGCAAAGGTAGCCTCTTCCTCATATAAGACGTCAACAACCTTTAACGAGCAGTATTGCTCCATTAACAGTGATTTCATGGTCTGGATACAGTCACTGCTCCAACTCCCCTCTGCGGGGAGAACATGGGCCACCCTGCACTTGATGGCCTGAAAGATTTGGTACGAGTAGTTTATGGAAAGTTAGGTTTAAAAACACTTCTAATTAATTATTTTACAAAAATGCAAAAAACCAAAACTATTCAGAAACCTCCAACTATCAACCATCACTTGTCCCACCTCAGTGATCTACTGAGCAGGCTTACTTCTCGTTAGAGAGAGACAGAAATGCATGGAAGGATAGCAATTATTTGTTAATTACACACAAATTTGAGTCACTTCTGCATAAAGTTATACATAAGTGATTGTTTTTAAAGAACAGATTAAAAAGATGTGCCTGAAAATGGCCGCTTACACCCAAGACAGCATTTAGTTAAGTAAGGTGTGAGAGAAATGAAGCTGTGATGGACACTGGGTGTTCATTTACACAGAAGGTACACCAACAGTTAAAACAAAAAACAAAAACAAACCACTGCAGAATATAACAAGTAAAACTGCATTAACTACTCCTCTGCAGCACCTGCTGGGAACTGACAAGTGAAGGAAACTCACACAAGGAGGAAACAAATCGATCCTGCTGTCCAGCTGCCGGATTCTGCTCACTGGAATGACTTCATCATTTCCAAAGTCAAGGTACAAGACTTGTGCCTGCTTCTGCTGCACGTCCACATCTCGTACCACAGCCCTGTTCCAGGTCTGAAAGTGCACAACACAACGTGCTCCACTCCAAAACAGCCTGTCACCAACTGGGACCACAGACACACGAGAGGCTCCTGTTCTGCTCAGAGGCCTAACATTGAAGAGCCAGCTTTGTTTTTCTAAGCCTCTTGTGAGTCCACAAGCAGCAATGCAGACAGGCATAGGCAGGGCTAGGGGGTCAGGCCCAGAGGAGCAAAGGGAACAAGCATGGAACATGGAGGAGCAGAGGCCAGGGGGACGAGGACTGGCAGCCTTCTCGGGCTGCTGCAGCACTGTACTGAATAGCACTCAGCGAGTTACCTGATCCACCGTGTACTTTGCAACGCAGACCTCACCCTTCACAGGCACGTACTCCTCCTCAGGCCCCACATTGGCATACGCTTCTTTCAAGCTCACGGAAAGTCGGCTCATGTATTCTAAAACTTCAGGAGAGTACAACTGCACATGGAAGTTACCAGGGTGTTTGAATTCTGAAACTGTTCCCTTTCAAAGACAAAAAAAAAAAAGTCAATGATTCTCGAGGAACACAAGCAATCACGCATCTCTCCAGACTGTAACTAAGCCACAATGACACTTTCGCAATCTTTGCTAATCAGATATATTTCGTAGCTACCCCACCATAGACTCAGAAATAAGAAGCAAAGAAGTATTGCTATGGTTTGGAGCGTTTCTGTGTGGGGAGATTAAATACCTTTACTTCCATGGCTTTCTGGAGCTGTAGACTTTTCAAATCAGAAACCATTGTTCTCTGAGCAGAAGCAGCTGTTTCTGTAGTTATGCCAAGTGGGCTGTCACTCTGGTTTAGGAAAACATAGCACTGAGTTACTCCCAGACCATTCAGGAACTCGGTGAGCACTGATGCTCTGTGGTCACGGCCACGTGAAGGTCTTGTGGGGCCACGGCCGCCACAGCACTGAGAACCTCCACATGATGACAAAGACAATGTGCTTGTGTGTTAAAAGCAAACAAGCAAACTGGGTGGAGGAGAGGGGAGGGTGTGGTTCTCTTTTTGGAAATTTGCTTTAAGAATGATTATTTGAGGAAGCCATACCTTTGGTTCTATTTATTTGTTATTAATAATTTTTTTATTTTCTAAAGCAAAGGGTAAGAACAGTTAAACTAAACCAAACTTTTTAAATCTGAACTGGGGGCCCTGGCACAACGGCTCAATGGCTCAATGGCTAATTCTCCCCTTGAAAAGCATGAGGATCCAAAATGGGCACCAGTTCATATCCCCACTGTCACACTTCCCATCCAGCTCTCTGCTTATGGCCTGTGAAAGCAGTAATGGATGGCCCAAAGCCTTGGGACCTTGTACCAGTGTGGGAGACCTTGAAGAAGCTCCTGGCTCCTGGCTTCAGACCGCCTCAACACCGGCTTCCCAAGTGGCCAAAGGACCATATGCCGAGATGGAGCCATCTCAAGTCTTTCATGGGAAATAAATGATTCCCAGCATCCTCCAACATTCACAAAATTCCATCACCAAGGTGTTTAACAGAAAATGTTTTTCTAAACACTACATGGTAAAATGTAGAAATAAATGAAAAAAAAAACTGCTAGCTAAAATTCCCTTGACTTATAAGGGAGCACCTCAAATTCACTCTAAAGACATAATGTAAAAATATAACCGTACCTCATTTTTCACTTCCTCCTTTTTTGTTTCAAAGGATGATTTATTATCCTCAATTTTATGGAAGCTGAAATAAAGCAACTGATTTAAACACAGCCTACAAAAATCAAGAGGAAGAGCAGTAAATGAAAACTATGTCAACTTCCCAATGAACAAAATCCAGAAGGAAAAAATGAAACAGCTTCTTTCAGAGAGAACCAGGAGGAAAAAAAACGAAATACCACCATCAAACTGCCCGATGCCCCACGGAGTGCACAGCTGTGCTGCCCCTAGGGCACACAGTGACAGTCTCCAAGCCTGCTTCCTTATCTTTGGGCTGGGATAATCCCTCTTGCACCGATGCAGGGCTCTGAGGTCACAGGTGAAACAGGTTTATGACCCAGTAGCTGTCACACTCAAAAGAGTTGTGCATCTGAAAATCACAACTGAACATGCACTGAGAGTGTCCCAGGAAAACATACAGGATGGAAAGTAAGACCTTATAAAGCTCTAGTCATTGGAGAAAAAAACTCACAGGTCTGACTCTGGTAAAATGTATCCATGAAAACTAAGTTGGCAGAGCTGCTGGTTCCAGAGTTGTACATTGGAGTATCTCAACAAACAAGTACAAGGGAACAACTTGTACCCAGTTGTGGCCTGCCTCTCTGATTGGGACCCTTATTTGATCAGGAAAAAAAGCAACCCTCAAATTTAAAATACCTCTTAATGCTCAGAGTATCTAAGGCACTCACTTTTGCTGCACAGGTTTGCACACGATGCTGTGAGCCGACCAGTCCCTCCTCTGGCATGCCGTGGAGCAATAGTATGTCTGCTTGCACTGCGAACACCTAAGGGAGCCTGAGGGACAGAGGCTACATCAGTACCCGTGCTGCCTCCCAAAGCACTTGTCAACATCAAATCATTTTCAAAGACTTCATACGTCAAACATGACCCTCCTCATCACTCTAAAAAAAAGCAAAATGACCAAACTCAATCTTGCTGTTTATGATTAGGTGTTAACATTATACTTTGTAAATCATACGTTTAAATTATGCATATATGTATATATATAAGAAAGAGACATAAAGACATAGATTTGTTCATTCCCCAAATGCTTGCACCACTAGGGCTGCGCCAAGCCCAAAGCAGAGCCTGGAATTCAATCCAGGCCTCCCACGGAGGTGGCAGCAACCTAGTCACTTGAGCCATCAACATGGCCTATGAGGCCTATATGGCTCTCAGCCAGTAAGGGGGTTATATGAAATACAGGCATCCCATTGTGTGATGTGGGCATCTGAACAGCTCTGCCTAAAGCCGCTTTGAATGCTCTCCCACAGTGCAGACAAAAAGGACTGCAATGATGAGAACACAAGACGGAGGTCAAACTTAAAATACAGCCTATCACACAAGTTACCAAAGGAGTGATCAAAGGCATCAAAACTGTACTGAAGTGAAAACAGACTTGTGCAAGCAGACTCAGATGATTTACAAATGGTGAGGTCACTCTTAGAAAAACTCAGGAAGCCTATGAAATAAGTATGCTTAAGAATCCATCAATGGGCTGCAAGTCTCACCAGTGAGCATGAGAACCAGGGGTGGGGGTGGGCCTGGCTGGACAGGCAGTGGCATCCACTAGCATCCACTGGAGGGTAGAATTGGCTGGGTTGAGTTAGCTTCAATGCCCAATGATGGATATGAGATCTGAATGGGATGTGGGGCAGACTGGACCAGTCCACTGGCAGGCATAGGAACCAGAGCTAGGGGACAATCCTGTGGGGGTTTTGGGGAGGGGTCATTCTGACTGGGCTGCAGCTCCCCCTATGAGTGCATATGTGTGTGTGTGTGTGTGTGTGTGTGTGTGTGTGTGTGTGTGTGTGTGTGTGTGTATGTGTGTGGTAGGCAGGGTTGGGTTGGGCTGCAGCATCCATTGCTATGCAGAGAAAAGAGGGCAGAACAAACTGATCAACTACCCCAGTGAGGCTTGACAACAAACTTCTAGGTGAATGGAGACTCTGAGGTGAACCATGTCAGCAGGAGGGAACTTGGAGGGATTTCCTGATACTTGGAGCAGTGAGAACAGCAGCATCTCAGAACCATCGAAGTCATTGGAGCAGAACCCTCAGAAAACACTTTACCGCGGGGACCCTGGCATGATATCGGGTGGCCACTCTCCGTTTCCGGTGCTGAGGCTGTTGGAAAGCTGGGTGTCGCTTCTCCCCTTGTACTCCTCCCTCCCCCAGATACAGGAAGAAAAAAAAGAAAATGTGAAAAAAAAAATGGTCTCACTCACTTTCCCTTAATCCTTGACCGTTCTCACCCTGATCAATTATGTAAACATCATCAAAAATAAAATGTTTAAAATATTCATCAGTATCCATTTATCTAAGACAAATAAAGAAAACAACAACAACAAAAGCTGGGCAGGCCTCTAAAGCTTCTACCCTAAAGGAAACCGGAAGGCAGCAGCGCTGGGCTGGAGGCTTGTGGGCACCTTGGTCAAGCTGCCGCTGAGGACGCCCCAAGACCTATCAGAGTGCTCGGGCTGAGTCCTGTCTCCTTCAGCTCAGTTCCCTGCTCCTGTAAACAGGCTCCCCTGTGGAAGACCCAGACAGATTCCCAGCCTTCAGGCCTCAGCCTGGCTGAGGCTGGGCTGTTAACAGGCATTTGGGAAGTGAACCAGCCCTCAGAACTCTCTCCTTGTCCGTTTGTCTCTGCCTTTCAAATAGAACAAAAGTAAATTCTGAGCAAAAATGTTAAACTCTAAGAGAACACTTTCAATTTTTAAAAGGAGAAAAAAAACTAAATTATCTAAATAACTAGCAAGCACATGACAAACTGCTCAAGCTCACTGATCAGGAGCAGCTCAGTGAGACGCCATTTCCCACTCCTGAGGAGGGCTACGACTGAACAACACCAAAACCACCAAACGCCAAGCGGAGCCCAGCCACTGGGGGAAACACACCCTGGAAACACAAAAGGAAACACACCCTGGAAAGCGAGCTCAAGTTAACACCTGCCCTTAGACTCGGCAATTCCATTGCTAGGTATGTCCCAGGAAAAATGAGGACCTGGATAAAAACAGCCTGATCCTGCACATAATCAAAACGTTCATTCATCACCTGAAGAGCATTTTAACTGTGCTGATACTGTACCAGGTGAACACATATAATTTTATCCATCAAAAAAAAAAAATGCACACTGTGGTATAACCTTACAATGAAACACTACTCGGCAATGAACAAAAATAACAGACATGATGCAACATGGATTAATCGCAAAAAAAAGTATTCTAAAGGAAATAGACTTTACATAAAAGGGTTTATATTGTATGGGTTTCTTTATATGAAACTCTGACAGGCAAAATTAATTTATGGTGAAGAAAGCAGCAGTTGCCTCTAAGGTAAGGTGGCTGGGAAGGACATGAGAAACATGCCCAGTGTTTTGGCAGGGTTTGTGAGTTTCTGCAGTCCACTGTGAACTTCACCTGAACAGGTGAGAACAACACCCTCGGGAAGCAGGAACAGCTGGCAGCTACTGTTGCTGAGCAATGAGAACACCCACACGCGCATATACACACGCACTTATGTTTACACTTCATACGCTTACAATTCATTGTAATAAAAATGTTGCTCAAACATGCAGAATGAGCCCACAGGCACCCAGGACGAGATGCTTACCAAACAGGCCGCAGCGATGGCAAGTTGTGGACCGAACAGGAGGTCCTAAGGAGTTGAAGAGTGCTGGATTACTGATGGACAAAGAGTTCTCAGAAACCTTGTGCAACTTTTTGGACTTTGTGGGAGGTACATTGCTGCTGGGCTTCTATTAGGAACAAAGAGCAGAGTTGGAATTCAGTAGTCACTTCCTCTTTTAAACACTCGTGCTTCCCTCTTGTGGTGATACAGAGTAAATGTACTTTTCCCTATTCCACTAAGCACGAAATGTTCTCAATTTATATACAAAACCAGTGTTAAGAGGACTCTGAACAAGGAAACTTCTGATTAAAAAAATGTGGCGGGGGGACATGTTGGCCAATTCTCTGGGTTTTCATTTTGCCTAATATCCCAGAATAGGTGCTGTAGAAGGTGGCAATTTAGAAACATCAAACAATGGTGCCAATTAAAACTCCCATTAAAAAATCTGCTCCCTCCAGCCAGAGGACCAGGAAAGGGCAAGACAGAACTCTCACTAGTTAATGGATTCCCCTCCAGATAAACATCACAGATAATGCTGCACCCTGCTCCCAGCAGCAAAGTAGAGTGGGATGCGTGAACTCTGTACTGACAAGGCTATAATGGTGTGCCTCAAGTCTTTCTAACTGGTGTGGTACCGAAAAAGGCCATAGGGTAGGGGGACACACTTACTCCCTGGGTAAGGAGGAGGACACTGCTTCCCATGGAATGGATGACAGACTAAGCCAGACCCTACACTGGCTGACACACACAGGAGTCAGGTCTGGGGTCACCTCTAGTGAGGTTTCTTTGGGGACCGCTGCCCTCATAACTGGACTGCTGCTCTCAAAACTCCAACCACAGGGAAAATCACAGGATCTCTGGCCTGCTCAAGGAATACATGTATCAGAACTCAGCCTCAATTGCTGAAGCCTGTGCAGTGGACAGCATGTCCAGATGCACATGGAGAACATGACAGCTCATTGAGGCCTACAGAGAACAATCTAGTACCATGGATGGCAGAACAAATTGGACAACTCTCCCAGCCAAGCATCTGGGTGAGTAGCAACCCTATGGTGGACTATGTCAGCCAACAGAGCCTGGAAGGATTTCCTCAACCTTGGATCAATGAAATCAACAACACCTCAGAACTACCAAAACCACTTAAGGAGCACCCTTGAAATATGCTCCACATTGGGGACCCTAGGATGACATTGAGTGGCTGGCCCCTACCCCAGGTACTAATGTGGTTGGACTTCTGGGAGCAATCTTCTCTCCTTTTCTCCTCCCTTCCTCCAGATAAGGAAGAAAAAAAAATGGGAAATAACTGTCTCATCCACTTTCCCTCATTTCCTTGATGGTTCCCAGCACGATCAATGGTTCACATGGGTGTCCGTCCTCAACTATGTAAACATCAAAAAACAAAAACAGAAGAACACCTTGGCAAGATGTGTTCTAAATTATCTGCTTGAAGGAAATACATGTAGGATAACTCTAAGAGGGCATGTGGGAAGAATCACTCTACCCAATTTCAAGATTATAAGTTCTAGTCCTCAAGACTGTGGAACTGGTAAAGAGACAAAAGAATATTTTTAGCAAAAATGACTCTAGATCAATTGAACCACCACAGGCAAAGTAACAGGCAAAACAGATCAAGGCATTAATGGGAAATGTAAAACTTTAAAACATTAAAAAAAATACCATTTGGGAGAGTTTTAGTACAATACAGAGTTTGAGAACTTGATGCTAAAAGTATAGTCCATTTAGTCCAGTCAAAAATTCATCAACTGCACCCAATAAATTTTTTCTTTAGTAAAGACAGAAAAGCTGCATTCCAGGAAAAAAATTTGCCAAACACATATTTGATGAAGTAGTAGTAACAAATACATGAAGAATCATGAAAACTCAGTAGTAAAAAAAAAAAATCCAATAAAACATGGGCAAAAGACAAACATTTTACACAAGAGGAGATACAGATGGAAAGTACATGAATGGAAGCTCAACACTGTTACCCACTAGGGACAGGTAAAGCCATACTGAGGTATTAAATTAAAAGCACAGTGAGGTATTAGTCCACACTTTGAACAATGAGTAAAATAAAAATAGCTAACAACATCAAATATATCTCATATACACTCTTGGGGAGAATGTAAAATGGTTTAGTTACTCTGGAAAATAGTTAAGTGGTTTCTTAAAAAAAGAAAAATGCATCTACTCTCTTTTCCCATATCACATAAAACCCTGTACTGCAGTTTTTCAGTAGCCCAAAGTGGACACAAGCCAGATACACTTTAAAGGGCAAATCCTTAAACTGAGCTCTCCTGTAACAGGTAGACCTACTCAGTAATAGAAAAGAGCAAACTACTGATACATACAACAACCTGTAGCAATCTCTAAACAATTAAATGCAGCAAGAAAGTCAATCTCAAAAGTTTAAATGCTTTCTGATTTCACTTATACAATGGTCTTAAAAATGACCAAATTGTGGAAATACAGATTATGAAATTAGTGGCTGCCTGGGATTAAGGAGAAGAGAGACCAGAACCAAAGGAAGGTAGGTAGGTGAGGCTCTAAGAAGGCATAAGAGGGGCCCCCGGAACCCCCACCCCGAAGTGAGGGAACACCCTGTGTCCTGAGCATACCAACGTCAGTGTCCCAGCCGCAGCTGAGAGGGACACCATTGTTCTGCCATATGTCACCCCTGGGGGACACTGGGCACAGGCCTCTCAGGATCTCCTTTTTTTTTTTTTTCAAATGCACTTGATTGTAACTAAAAAGAAATGCTTATTTTTTAAGTTCACAGGTTGAAGAAAAGAAGTTTGACCTTGAGCCATACCACAAATCGAATACTTCTTTATTAACACAGCTCAAAAACACATTCAAACTCTTGTACCTAAGCAAAAATGCAAAAGGTTTAATTAACCTTCAAGGACTTACTTCTTTGGATGGTGAGTTATTTCCAGCAGTGAGAAGCGACAGTGAGTTTCCTGAGAAGCAAAAAATACAAATCTTAATAAAGCTCCAAATATTATTCTTAATTCTTAATGTTAAAAAATACAGCATAACTAAGTAGTATTCAAAAAAAACAACAGGCTTACATTCTAATCACTTTACAGCTATACATCAAGAGGCAACACCTTTATCCTAAAGGAAAAGAAGGACCTGTCTGACAGCTTCTTGACTATTGTGCTTTGCGCCTCACAATGCAGACTTTTACTCATTCAGTAACATAGTTATTTTCCCACCTTTTGAACTCAAGAACATCTTTACATTCTTAAAAAAAATTCTTACCCAAGAACCCAAGCAGCTTTCATTTATATGGCTTATGCCTGTCAAATTTACTGTATTCTGAAAATTAAATTTGAACATACTCATTTACCTAAAACCAAAATGTTTTACTTGTTGGCATAATTGTCACAATAAAGTCATAATGAGCACAGTGTCTCCTCTTTGCCTGTATGTTTAATGTTTAGCTTAACAGGAGACTAGAAAATGATGCAATTGCAAAACAGAGGTGTGTCAAATAACTGTGAAGATTTCCATATCACACCGAAATGCAAGAGGCAGATTAAAAGTCACAGGCCTAATGTAATGGCTCAATGGTTAAACCTTCATCTTGCAAGAGCCAGGATCCCCTATGGGTGCTGGTTTGTGTCCCGGCTGTTTCACTTCCCATCTAGCTCCCTGCTTATGGCCTGGGAAAGCAGTAACAGATGGTCCAAAGCCTTGGGATCCTGTACCCACGTGGGAGGCCCAGAAGTAGCTTCTGGCTTGTGATTGGCTCAGCTCTGGCCATTATGGCCACTTGAGGATTGAACCAGTGGATAGAAGATCTTTTTCTTTACCTCTTCTTCTCTCTGTAAATCTGATCTGCCTTTCCAAGAAAAAACAAATAAATCTTTGAAAAGGAAAAAAAAAGTTACAGTGTGGGCTCTAAGGCCATACCAATGAGCTTTTCATGCAGTTATGCTACAATCCACTGACTGGGAGCTAATGCTGGGGTGTGGCAAAGTAAGCTGAAATGTGCCACCAACTGTGGGTTGGAGTCTGATTGCCTCTGCTTTCGATCTGGCTCCCTGCTAATGCACCTGGGAAAGCAGCGTAAGCTGGCCCGAGTGCTTGGGCCTGCTACCATGCTGGACTGGGATGAAGCTGCTGACTTCGGTGCAGCCCACCAGAAAAGCCCAAGCACGGGGGAGCTCAGCTCCCCATGGCAGACACCAGTTTCCCAAAACCCTCATTTTCTCCGAAGCTCCAATTTTATCATCAGCAACAAAGTCCTGGCAGTGGTTGTCCTTGAAGTGATGGACTTACTCTTGTTTTCAGGAAATGTTGGCTAGACTCTGTTTGAAGAACCACTCTGTCACTTTTTTTCAAGCACAAAGGATAATGCAAGATAAATGCTTCTGCTGGTCACAATGCAAATCATCACCTTGCTTCTCCATGAGCATGCAATGCCCATTCATTACCAAAAAACACTAAAAAAAATCCCTGTGCAGAGGAGCAAGTCAGAATGAAATGAATCATTTTCATTGCTCCACCAAGGACATTTTAAACTGAAACGGACATTTCTGGGTTTTGTTTGCTTAACTGCAAGTGCATGGTAATGAAGAACACACTGTCCACTGACCCAGGTGGATGTCCTGCCCTGAGTCCAGCTTTAAGGCACTAACAGGTCAGCCACTGTGCTTGTGTAGCTCCCACGTACAATCAACACGCACAAGAAAGGCTAATCACGTTTTGAAACCATCAGCAAACAGCCACATACTGAGACCTGCAACACCACAGTGCTGAAAGATCACATCCCATCTTGTGAACACTCAAAGAAGCTAAATTCCAGCAGGGCCCAGCTCCCTTTCAAAGCAGGTTTTTAGAATCAGGATTGAAGAAATGAGAACTCATAGCAACTGGGCCATATCTTTGACACAGGAGTCCATAGCTCTGTGAGCTACTACATGCAACTACTTTGCAGAGTATTTTTTTAAAAAAAATACAATCTTGGGAACACGCACAAGAAGGCAATGCATGTGCTCCCCACATCTCTGTACGTATCTGTACAGATACTACTACCTGCACCTACACTGGTTTAACTCTGTGAAGAGAAAATAAAAAGCTCTTCTGCAGACATTTTCCCCCCAGAAATCTGTAATTAAACACGCCCAAGGTAATTAGAATCTGGGTTTCCCTTCTAAATTAATAATGAAATGCAAACACCACAGGGTAGTAGTCACTTGGGCGCTGTGTTTACAGCTCTCTGGTTCAGTCATATAGAAGCACGAAAGTGCTGGAAACCATTAGAATCAGGAAGTAAGAAGGCCACAGTCTGCACTCACCTGTGGGCAGTGTCTTCGGGTCTCCTCTGGCTCCTGCTTCTCCACTGATGCCATTAGGGTCTGAAGATGCGGAACCATCTTCCTGACTAGCCAGAAACTGCTTGGTTTGCTCACCAAGCAAAAAGTTGTTCTTTTTGTTTATTGTCTCTGGGCTTTTCAACCTGAAAGTTGGATGATTATGGTGTGGCCCGGGATTCCTCAGAGAGTCCCGTGAAGGAAGCTTGCTTTCAGCTTTCTCGAAGTTAAATGGCTCTGTCATTTTACAAGTAGACGCTTCCAAACTATTTCTTGACAGTACATTCAGTGGCGATTTAACACAGAAATCTAAGGAAAGAAATATATTAAAGAGGCAACTTTTAATGACAAAAGTAGAATGGCAGGCAAGGTGATTTTTTCCATAAAATGGAATCATGCCATTAAATCTGGCCTTCAGGCACAAGCCCGGACAATTCTCTAAGTACAAACTCCAAGTTTAATGGACATCAATGACAAAACAACAAAGCAAGACACATCTGAGGAGTAGTCTGACTTTAACTCCACTGCTGACTTCACAAAGCTTCACAGTAACATAAAAAGGGTTTTTATAAAAGCTTTAAAAGAAATATAGCCAACCTACACCTTAATGACAAATCACAAGAGATGGTGCCTTTTGAAGCAGTTCATCGCCTCCCCACTGCCTTCTCAGAATCCCTCTCCTACTTTATGCTACACCAAGTCCTTGAATTTGCTGAACCCAACACCCAGAATGTACCTGTTCCCTGGCGTGCTCATCACAGCATGTGCTCAGCTCAAGACTCGGTGCGGCTGAGCCCCTTGCTCAGCTTAGACAGGCTCCAGCTGGACCTGCATGAACTGTAACCTGTACTCTGCTTTGAATGTGCCGTCTGTGTGGATCTCAAAGTTAGGCCCAGGGCAGGGTCTCCCTGTGTCACGTGTTGTTCCACCCAGAATGAAGCTAGCCTATTGTTTCCCTAGAACTCTGTGAGCCTTTCAGGGTAACTCAAGCACAAAGCAAACAACGTCACTCTGAAGCAGCGACTCCTGGCCATCTCCGTCAACTCAGTTTCTGCCTCTTCTCCCACAACTGCCCATAAGCAGGGGAAAAACAGCCATAAAGGCGAACCATGCTGCTGAACAAGACTGTATAGAAAACAAACAGCAATATGATCCTCCTTCTTAATGACCTAAAACTTTCATCTCATCTCTAGTTTTTAAGTTAGGTTAAACTAGTGCAATGACAGCAGAGAAAAGACCATGAAATTTAAAAAATATGCACTCTCCAAGGTAGGGCATTCACCGTGGGCTAGATCCAAGGAAGTCAGTTCTGACATACAGGCTCAAGATGGGCAGCCACAGTGGGAGACCCAGCAGCAGCCAGGAAGCAGCTGTCCCAACAAGCCTAAACTGGAGGATCAGACGGACAACTACAACACTGGATGCAGCAAGGAGCGAGAACACGTCAAGTAACAGGAGGGAGACACCTTCCGGAGAGCTGGAGGCGGCGTGGGCTTATGAATGCTGAGTGACTCCAGTCTCCATAACAAACAGAAAGGATGGTCATTGCATTATTGAGGGTAACTGCCAGAAAAATGGAAATGAAATGCATACTTTTCCCAAGAGAGGAAAAATCATGAAGCATTGTAATAATTAGCTAACCTCCAAATACCGTAACAGAAACAAGCACAAGTAATGTATACCAATGAATTAGTCTCAAATAAAATAATAAAAATGCAGGGGGAAAAATCAAGCTAGATATTATACACAAAAAGCACACATAAAAATTACATGGTATGCTTGAAAATAAAAGGAATAAAACATGTGCTTTGCAAAAAGCCAAAGCAAAGGATTAAAAAATAATTCAAGGAAGAAACTCCTGAGACATACTTTACACTGATTAAAAAAAATTCAAAGAGCAGTAGGAGTGTCTGAGACAAAACAAAGTCCCTCAGAGATGACTGAAGGGGGAAAAGATCAGTTCATGTAAGGACCTAGACATCTCACACACACACCAGACACAGAGCAAGCAGGGAAGGAGCAAGCGGATCCAACAGCAACCAACAGAACCAACACTGAGTACTGCGTACTCTGCACTACAAAGACTGAGTCAACTCACCCCCCAAAAGCCCAGCATTATCCAGGCTACAACCATGTTAGACCATGCACAACAATCTCTTCATCAGATTATCACCTTAATCAACCTGCATCACGCAAACACTCAGTCATTTCCCACTCCTAGGAAGGCTTTCAGCCTGGCTCTGCCACGCAGGGAATGAACCAGCAGACGGGTAGAAGATATGTGTGTGTGTGTGTGTGTGTGTGTGTGTGTGTGTGTGTGTGCGCACACGCGCACGTCTGTAATGATTTCAAATAAATAAACCTTTACAAAAAATGTGCTGAAACAGCACAAAGGTACTGATTGAGAGTAAACATGAATACATGAACAAATATGCATACTTAAAAAATTATAACAAACACAAGGGGACAACCATTCAAACTCAGCTATGGTTTTCTTTTTAATTCACACTGAAATAACCTATTTTCTGCCTAGTGTGGGTGCTGTGAAAGAGGCCACTCATCACTGAAGAGCATAATTTAGCACACTCCCTCTAGGATGCAAATTTGCCTGTGTGTGGTCTTAAAAAGGCACTGAACTACTCACTCGGTTACTCTTGCAGAAATCAACTTATTACAAAAAAAAAAAATCCTGTATGCATTCATGTTCATCTAAAGTGGTAAAAGAAAAAGGGGAGGATCGGTGTTGTGACACAGGTTAAACTGCTGCTTGCTGTTTGTGATACCCACAAACCACATCGCAGTGCTAGGTTCAACTCAGAGTCACTCTGGACTTCCTTTCCACGAGCTTGGGAGGGAACATTTGAGGGCCCCTCGGGCACCTGGGTTCCTCCCAGCCTCATTCAGGACTGCGATGAAATCTGCATCTTTGAGCTTTGGCCTGCTCTGGCCTTGGCTGTGGCAAGCTTCTCGAGGGGCAACCAGAGGGTGCAAGATTTCTTGGTGCCACTCTGCCTTTCAAATAAATAAATAGATTTTTAAAAACTTGGGGTAGAGGGAAGTGATGGCAGCTGTCACGCACACCTCGACAAAGACAGATTATATTGTTATTTAGAATCCTGGTTTCCAAAAAAAAATGCATAAAACTGCTAGAAGTTTTTATGTAAATAAAAAACTGAAAAAAATAAAGTTTACAGGTCAAACACGCAATTTGAAAATCCAAAATGGTCTAGAATCCAAAACTTTTTGACATATCAATCTGTCCTTACAAGCAGAAAATTCCTCCCCTGACTTTATGTGGCTGCCCATAGTCAACACACAGATGCACTGTGGAAGACCTGCTTTGAATTTTGGGTTCCTGGCTTCCACCCAGCCCAATCCCAGCTATGTCAGGCACCAGAAGAATAAACCAGCAGGTGCAAGCTGCAACTCTGTATCATTTCTTCTCTCCCTCCACTTCTCTACTTCTCTGTCCAACCTTCTCCCCCCCACCCACCTTTGCTGATCAATAGATGAGAAAGGTTGTTTCCTAAGAACAAAGTACACTAAAAATGTTACATAAAATTATCTCCTGGGACCCAGCACGCTGTGGCCTAGGCCTAGCGGCTAAAGTCCTCAACTTGGGCTAAAGTCCTCACCTTGAAGGAGCCGGGGATCCCATACTGGCACAGGTTCTAATCCCGGCAGCCCCACTTCCCATCCAGCTCCCTGCTTGTGGCCTGGGAAAGCAGTGGAGGATAGCCTGAGACCTTGGGACCCTGTACCCATGTAAGAGACCCGGAAGAAGCGCCTGGCTCCTGGCTTCAGATTGGCACAGCTCTAGCCATTGCAGTCATTTGGGGAGTAAATCATCAGACAGAGGATCTTTGTTTCTCCTCTTCTCAATATATCTATCTTAATAATAACAAAAAAAATCTTAAAAAAATTTATCTCCTGAATAGGCATGCAAGGTATATATGAAACTTAAATGGTTTCATGTTTAGGCCTGGATCACATTTCTAGGATATCTCATTATACATATGCAAATGTTCCAAAATCCAAAACATTTCTGCTCCCAAGCAGTTTAGGTAAAACATACTCAACCTGTATAAGCATTCAATAAAAACAGCAAGAAAAAAAAAAAGAAAAAAAATATGCAAACTCCACATTAAAAGTATGAACTTAAAATTCAACATATTTTGAATAGTATCGAGTTGTCTGGGATGAGTTGATGAGGTCATTTTTTTTACTTTTTCTTTTCCAGTTTTCAAATTATGCCTAAATCATACTTTTATAGCTTTTATAGTAGGGAAAAAAAAGTAAAAGTGAAAGAATCACTTAATATATCAAAGGACAAAGCTACAACAACTTAGCAATACTTAGCTTTGATTCTGGAGTTAGGTAACACTTTTTCTGAGAATAAAGTCAGGACTCTCCCCAGTGAACAAAGGATTCCGAAAAGGAGCTGGCAATCAGCCAGCAGGCAAATGGCACTCCCTCTGTTTATGCCTCTGCTTTGCTTCCTTGGTGAGATTTACAGATTTGCTTGGAAGGCCTAGTGACGGGAAGAATTCTTCCTTTCACTGGTTTACTCCCCAGATTCCCGCAACAACCAGGGCTGCTGGAACTCAGGGGACAGGAACATGCTGGGCGACACCTGTTCCTAGCAGGTGCGTCGGATGAAAGCTGAACTGGAAGCTGAACAGCTGAGCAGCATTCCAGTCCAGGAACCCACTCCACCGCAGTGACAGCTCAACCTGCTGTGTGACTCTGTGACAGCACTACCCCCAGGACTCAAGTTTTCAGAACAGGCAGCCAAGGCTATTTAGTCCAAATGATTTCTGGTCATCTAAACCTGGAATTCCACTGTCTTGAATGTGTAATTCTCATGTCATTGACTTTCCCTTGGTCAATTACAATGCTATGAGTTTTCACACATATATTAAATGCATGTGTGACTACCACCAAAATGGGGAAACAGCGGCAGGCTTTTACAGGCTGAACTGGAATACTGAAAGCACTTGTAGCACTCTGCATTCACATGCCGTTATCCCGTATCAGCCACCTGGGACATCTGAATCTTGAGTATGCACAATCTGTGTCCTAACTTAATTCCCAACCTTGGTCTGCAGACTTTTCATCTACAGGTAGATTGGGCAGATACTGATGCAAAGACCTTAACACCCCATGGCTTCAGCTCCCCCACCCCCAACCAAAAAATACAGCCCACTATGTTGGCTTGCTCACCAACAAAAATGTACTAAGTCACCTGGCATCCACAGTCCTTGTTGCCTAGTTAACACAGGAGGCTAATTTGAAGAGTTCCCTCCTTCCTTTATGTTAAAGCGATCTCTTACAGTCTCGTGATTGGGGATGTCATAAAAAGGCAATAGCCTGGGCATGACTCAGTTGTTGAGAGGCCTGGGCTGGGTGTGTCCCCCGACCTCAGGACCCTGGGGGGTTCCCAGGAGCACTCTCACTCCCTTGGAATCAAACTCCCCGCATTCTCTAGCCTTGGGGGACCATCCTAGGATCCACCGCAGGGCAACGTGAGGCAAGCCCTTCCTCCTCCTTTGAGGGGGGCACACCCAGGGCCTCGAGTCAACCCTGGGAAGCCGGTCTCTGAAGAAGGCACTGGCCGTGACATTTAGCCTTTGTTTGCCTTCTCTGAAGCTTTTCTTCCTGGTCACGCCATACAATCCGCTCAAAGAACCACAGAACTCGCCGGGAAGAAGAGCATGGGCTTTGGGGTCACACCCAAGTCCCCCTCTCCTCGTCTGGCAGGGCTATTTTGGGCAAACCACTTCATGGCTCTGGGATCCAGGGAATGGTAAAAGGTGGACGTGGAGGATTACACGAGAAAGTGTACACAAGCCACTCAGCTAAGTACTTAAGGCACAGGCATTCTCTCCATTGAACTCAGAACAGCCATGGCTTAAAAAAAAAAAAAAAAAAAAAACCTGCCATTCCCGAATGGGTCTGCACATGGTAAAACACATGTCTGAGAAGTACAGTGCTACTATTTCTTTATACCCAGTGATGAGCCACGGCGAGCTCATTCGAGGCCAGCCCCTTTCACTGTCGCGGTAAGAATCCAGGTCAGATTTCTGCCTCTAAGGTATTGCAACCGATACCTTTGTGTCTCTGAGCCAACTAGAAGCACCTGTTCTAACTCCAGAGGCCCGACAGGACAAATGAGGTAGGACCAGCGGCGCAGGTGGTGTAAATCAGCGCCAGCTTACTCACTCCGGCAGTGACTGCCGCGTGCAGCTTACCCACACGGCTGGCACTGCAGCCTTTGAGTTAAATGAAGGTACCGAATTCGTATACAGTTCCTTTTCAAGAAAAGCGGTCCGTCCATATCTGCGGCGTGCTCTCACATCCACCGCAGGACCTCCCACCTACTGGCCCACACCTCAGGCCTGCGTCGCCAAGCCCCTCCAACCAACACAGAGTCGTCCCAGACCCAAACCTCCAAGCCCTGACCTCCCCCTTCCCAGCCAAGACCCCAAAAGCTTCCTCTACCCTTCCAACCTCACTCCACTTCCAGGCCCCTTGGACCGGCTCAACGCCCGATTTCAACGCCCGACCTCAACGTCCAGCGCCCAACGACCGAAGCCCCACAACCTCACGCTGCTCCTTTTCCTCCCCCAGGTCCCTGGCAAGCCTGACCTGGGAAGAGGCTGAAGGGCTGCTGACCCCGACCGACCTCTCTCTCTCAAGGCTGCCCGTTGTGGCGCCTAGCAGCTGCCCCGACAACTTCGGGCCCAGCGGCTCCACACGGGCTCCACCCGCCTCCAAAGCCCAGCCACCTCCCAGGCTTGCAGCAGCGCGCCTGCGCGGTCCAGGCCCGCGCACGCTGCGCCTGCGCACTCGGCGCCACGTGCGTCCCTCGACGCCCACGCGCGCCCGGCCGTGCGCCCTCCCACCTGCGGCTGAGCACGTGTGCCCGGGCTGTGAGTTCCGTAAGTTGGTTGTGGATAGATCTAGGAAGCAGTGTATCTACATAATATCTATCTACCTATCTTTTAGAAAAGATAGCTCCGAGAACGACTTTGTGATGGTTGTCTTTTATTCAGATTTGCTTGATGCTTCTTGTTCGTTTTGCGACGTGTAGTTAGGTCTGCCTAAGTTCTTCTTGCGGCTGTTTCTCAGACTTTCCTTGACCATCTCCTTTAGTATGGCAAGTAGCTGAGGCCTTTTGTAGGCAGGGGGAATCGCATGATTGGGATTTGATTTTCCTCATGGTAGGAATGGAGTTAGGGAAGTAACCGGAAAGGAAGGGGCCACTTAACGGGACTCAGTGTTTCTCGAGCTGAGGCAGGGAGCACCTGAGGAGAAGCAGGAGATTTCTGGAAGGATCCTGTTCTCTCTCAAAGTCTGCACTGAGGAACTGGCAGCGTGAAGCCAGCAGGCAGAAGCTTCATCTGGGTCTTCCACGTAGAAGCTGGGGCCCAAACACTTGGACCATCCCCCATGGTTCTCCCAGACCCACCAGCAGGGAGCTGGATTGGAGGTGAATAAGTGGGCACTCCAGCTGGTGCCCATATGGGACACTGGGGGTGGCAGGCAGGTGCTTAACTCACTGCATCACAACGCCCGCCCCTGAAGTATTGTCTTTATAGTAGGTATGTTCAAAACAAGGTTAATATTTGTACTTAGCTGTTGGGAGAAAAAGTTCTGTTTCATCCATGCCCTTTTCTTATCGAAGAAAGGGCAATTCTTCTCACAACTGACTTTGATTGCCTCTGTATTTTTTATTTTTAAAAAAAATTGATTTATTTTTATTGGAAAGATTTACAGAGAGAAAGAGAGAAAGAAAGATCTTCCATCTGTTGCTTCACTCTGCAATGGCCAGAGCTGAGCCGATCTGAAGCCAGGAGCTTCTTCCTGGTCTCCCACACAGGTGCAGGATCCCAAGGCTTTGGGCCATCCTCGACTGCTTTCCCAGGTCACAAGCAGGGAGCTGGATGGGAAGTGGGGCTGCCGGATTAGAACCAGCATCCCTATGGGACCCTGGTATGTGCAAGGCGAGGACTCTAGCTCACAGGGCCCTTGCCTCTCTTTTTATAAGAATCCGTCTCAGGTGTTTCTCTGTTGCAGTAGATCAAAAGCTACATATTAGGTAGCTGTTTCCCTGTAGGGGACACCAAGATTGATCGAGTAGGTTCAAGTGTTGTTATCCTGAGGTTTCCTACCAACTTTTTATCTAAGATTCTGGACTGACAGATGACCACTATCTGTGTCTATTATTTCATTACAGTTTGCAAAAATGGTGATAGCTTCTCCTTTTACGTTTGTTATATAGAATTCTGCACGAGCATGTTCGCATCCACTGTATGCTTCTCAGTCTGCAGCAGGAGAGCTTGGCCAAATGCCTCATTTTTTTTTTCACTGCTATCAGTTTTCAGTGTGTGGTATTTCTTGATATCTTCCCAAAATGGTTAATAACACTTTTGAAAATCAATGCATGCACTGACTTTTAATATAGCTGGTGTGTCTCAATGCTGCTGTTATTTTTGAACCCTGAAATTATCCCTTGCTGACCAGCTGTAGCACAAGCAAATTACTTCCTAAGCCTTTTCAGGCACTTACTCGTGTTCTCTTCACGCTGCTTTTACTTTGCTTCTGCTAAAATCAACATGAGCAAGCTCTTGTGCATTTCCGTCCTAGACTGGGAATCGCCTTTGATCTTCAAGCAAAGTCCAGGTAATCTGTAGAGGAAGTAGTATTTACACATCACAGTTTGGAGAACAAAGGTATGCCATTAGATTGATTATAGTTCCAGGCTTTTCAAGGGACAGATTTTTTTTTTTTTTTAAGAAAAAATACTCTAGGCACATGCTTATGTTTCTAACTTCAAATCAAGGATTGCATTATTTTTATTTCATTTCTGTGATTTTCTATTACTATTATTCTCTTACAGTGAAAAACTTGATTCCCAGAATTTAGAAATAATGCTATTCCTGACAATAGAAGTATTGAAACAGCTTATGGTTTCTTTGATTTCCACCCCTCCCTATCATCGTGGGAATGTTGGGTTGATTTGTCAAAGCCAAATCATTTCTCTCCCATCATGGACACTTTTAATGAATGTGCCTCCAGTGCAGTCCCTTTATTTGAGGAGGGAGGTGTTATTTCCCGTTGAAAGAGAAAGAGGAACAAATTACATATTTATAGTCTTTTTTTCTTCTGTTTGTTTTGCCGGCCGTCTCGGAGGTGGTTAACGGAACCGTGGAAAGTTTTGCTAGACAACGTCTGGCCTTTAAGACTGGTCTGAATTCATCAATTTTACTCAAAGAAGTCCTAACCCCAAAACCTTGTTTGTTCCCGCTCTGGACCCAGCCGGACAACCGTCTCCATACTCTTTTTGTGGACAGAGGATGCCTGCCCAGAGGTTGCTTGCTGAGCTCGGGAACGCGCTCGGCCCGGGGCGGGAAGCGGACGCTCCAACTGTCCATTATTCAACAATGGCACTCTAGGGGCCACTCTGAAGAGCCGAACGCGGCGTTATGGCAACCCCAGAAGCCTCTCTAAGGAGGTAAAGGGCGGGTAGGCTGGAGTCCCTGGAGACTCCGCCCTCGTCAGGTGCAAGGTCTGCGCACCAGTGCCGGGAAGCCACAGTTGGGAATTGTCTTTTATTGCTCTACGTCTCTTGAGCCAAAGGGAGAGAAGGGGTAATATCCTGACGGTCGCTTCTACGAGAAGAAACCACCTGCTTGGCTCCAGGAAAGGCGGATAGGAGAGGCGGGTAGGACTAAGGACCGAGGGGGCTGCGCAGGTGAGACGCGCGCGGGGTATTCCAGCCAGGCCGGGCAGGGTGGGGGCCGCCCGGGGTCGCGAGGCTCCGCCCACTGCAGGCAGGTTACCCTGGCCGTCAAGGTGCGCGCGTCACGCCGCCCGCGCGGCGCTGATTGGCTCCTCGGCGGAGCCCCGCCCCCTCAGCTGTATCCCGGCCGGCTCCGGCGCCGCCGCCATCTTTGTTGATGTGTCAGCCCGGCGGGGGCTCGTGGAAGCGGTGGTCCCCCGAGCGAGGTGTCCGCCCTGTTCCCCTTCGCGCTCTCCGCCGCTCCTCCCCTCCTGCCCCGCTATGGAGAAGTCGGTTCCTGCGCCGCGGCGCCAGCGGCCTCGTTTGGGTGCGGCCTGAGTCTTGGAAAACGGGTGAGTGCCTGAGGGGCGCCCGCCCGCGGCGGACGGGGCGGCCTCCCTGCTGGCCGCTGTCGCGGGGAGCCGGGCTCGCAGCCCCTGTCCTCCCCTCCCCGGCAACGGGGCGACCGGGGCGAGTCGGGGGGCTCCTGGAGGCCGTGGGTCACGAGCGGCCGGATTGGCTGAGCTGGGCTGCCGGCGCGAGCTGCTGGGGGATCTGACATGGGTTTCGGTCGGCTGTTTCGCCTGTCGTGTCCACGCTGTTTGTGTGTGTTGGTCGTTGTGGCGACTTGCTAGCCCTTTCTCGACCCCTGCCCTTCCTTGTGACTGTTTAAGTTGCTAGAAATGGTTCTTTGTGGAGTTGCGGAAGAGGGGGACGCTGTTGTATTTGGATGCTGCTTTTCTTTCAAGGACGGCAAGGTAATTCATAAAGCTAGGTTGGGAGCGAAGGGATTCCGAACGTGACTCCATCCGAGTGTAAAATGGTGCAGCCCCCTAACACACGTGCCCCTAACACAGTGCAGGTGCGATGGCCGCTCTGCTGTGAACAACTTGACAACTTTGGGTGATAGTCACGTCTTGGTTTCGCATGGGGCCGAGAGGGCCGGGTTTACAGTCGCAGCGTCTGCATTAGAACCTTGCTGGTTCGACGTTGCTAGTCTTGTTACCTCTAGCAATCAGAGCATAGCAAATATATGCAGTGCGGTCCCGGGTACTTCGCAGTTTGCTTCACATGGGTGATGTGTTTCTTTGCACCCAGTTTTTTTTTTTTTTCTTTCCTGAAAAGTAAGTCAAGTGTGTTTCTAAGGAAGACATGCACTGAATCAGTGCAGATGTGTCGGTATTCACTTAGGAAAACCAGTAGATGAAGTGTTCAGGTACTCAGTGGGTGTGGCTGTAAGCTACTAAGAACCCTTTGGTGTTTATCTTGAAGGACCATTGGTCGACAATCTGAACTTTGCGTCTAAAGCACAAGGCTCCTCGGCCCCTCGGCCCCTCGGCCCCTCGGCCCCTCGGCACACGGCAGCTGCTTCTCTTTGTCTGGCGTGACACGAAATGCAGGGACGACCGGCCCAGTTGCTTCTCTCTTAGTCCTTTCATATTCTTCGGATTCATGGAAACTAGTGTGGAACTTGCCGATCCCGAAATACTGAGAATTAAAACTCCTCTTCCCTAAACAATTGCTGGACAGCCTCTGAGACGCAGAGTGCGTTTCTTAGTTCCAAAGCCTCATGTAGTTCAGAATGAGTGCACGTCAACTTCAGTATTCTTTCAACCGTGGAGATTCCGTGGAGGGTCGCTGGCATCAGGCTTATGATTGCCTAACCCAGAGGAGTGACCTGGGTGTAACACACGCAGCAGGCACTCCGCAGAGCTGCCCTTTGATGCTGTCCGGGGAGCTGCACTCCTTGCACGGTCCTGTGTGTGGAGGAGAGGAGAGGTGGTGCAGTGCTTGGCTCTGAGGGCCGAGCCCTTCCCTTGAGATTCAGCAGTCATCTGCTGCTTACACATCGCTGCAGCAGTTGACCTTTGTGGATTCTTTCAAGCTTCTCCTTTGAACTTTCTCAACTACTGAGATTGAAAAGTGTTATGTGGGTAAAGTATAAACAAAAGGAGGGGCAGGCATTCTGGCATTTGGCCACCACCCCATATAGGAACCCCTTCTGTTCCAGCTTCCTGCTAATGGGCATGGGAAGGCAGTAGAGGGTGGCCCAGGTGCTTGGGTGCCTGTCACCCATATGGAAGACCAGGATGGAGTTCCAGATTCCTAGCTTTGGCTATTGTAAGCGTTTGAGCAATGACACAGTGGTTAGAAGCTTGATGGATCTATTTATCCATTTGCCTGTCTGGATCCCTCTGCTTTTCTTCCCCTCCCACTCTCTGTCACCATGCCTTGAAATAAGTCAATCTTGAAAAAAAGATACTGGGGTGAAGGGTGAAAGACAAAGTAGCCTCAGCGTACTATTGATTGGGCTGAGTATGCTTCTTAGTAACTTTTTAAAAAAGTTTTATTTATTTTTTGGGACTGGCGCAATAGCCTAGTGGCTAAATCCTCACCTTGCATGTGCCTGGATCCCATATTGATGATTCATGTCCCAGATGCTCCACTTCCCATCTGGCTCCCTGCTTCTGGCATGGGAAAGCAGTAGGGAATGGCCCAAAGCCCTGAAACCCTGCACTTGCATGGGACCCGGAAGAAGCTCCTGGCTCCTGGTTTCAAATCAGCTCACTCTGGCCATTGCAGCCACTTGGGGAGTGAACCAGGGAATGGAAGATCTTTCTGTCTCTCCTTCTCTTTGTGTCTCTGCCTTTCCAGTAATAAATAAATAAAAAACTAATCTTAAAAGCTTATTTTAAAAAGGTTTATTAATAATTTTATTGGAAGAACAGATCTACACAAAGGAGAGATGGAAAGATCCTCTGTCTGCTGGTTCACTCCAAGTGGCCACAACGGCCACAGCTGAGCTGATCTGAGACTAGGAGCTAGGAGCTTCTTTCAGGTCTCCAACACAGATATGGGGTCCCAAGGCTTTAGGTCATCCTTGACGGCTTTCCCACCCCACAAACTGAGAGCTGGATGGGAAGTGGAGCAGCTGGGATACAAACCAGTGTCCATATGGCATGTGCAAGGCAAAATTTTAGCCACTGAGCCATTGCACAGGGTCTGGTAACTGTTAGAATATATGAACTGTTAGTCTAATGAGTGCTAATGAATAAATTTTGTTTACTTCGTAATACCAAAAATAAACCTAAACTAAATGTTTCTTCAAGGTTTAAACATGAAAATTCTTTAAGCATACTTACACATGTTTAATTTTGAATGGGCATTTTATTTTTGAAAAACAAACTATATAGGTTAGCATTTTTTTCCTTTTAATTACTGGATATTGGAGAAAAAAATTTTAAAATACTAATGTTTTCTTAGATTCAGATGTTAAGATCATCTGTGCAAATTACTTCACGTTCAGATTTCCTTATTGACTTTCTCTGATATTTTAAAAATTATATAAAATTGTATGAGGTATACATATTAATAATAACATGCTAAAATTTTATGATATGATTATGATGTGGATTCTAGGTAGACCATAACTTCTGTTGTTATCCTGTCACTATTTTGGTGGTGGTCTTGGATGTTGCTGCATTTATTGCTTGTCCTTTTTGTTGTTGCTGTTGTTTTTAATTAGCGTCTTTGTGAGTGATATAACGCACAAACCATAAAATCCATCATGTGCAAGTCATAGTACAAAGCTAACTACACCCAACAGGGATAATTGACCTTGATCTTCAGAGGGACTTGTCAGTGAGCTGGTAGACAGGGTTTTCATTCTGGGGCTGTTTCTGTTAAAGGACTCTCAGCTTGTGAGCATTGAAGTTGCATTTTGCCCAAATGTGATTGCTATCTATTGAAAATGATTTCTTCTGTATTGTTGAGCTACTCTACAGTTATCGTTTTATCTTTCAAAACGTAAAATTTGATCTATACAAATGCCTATATGAAATTTTGGCGTCAAGTATTTTCGTTGTGTGAAGGAAGGTGTTCATGTTTCTTACACAGATTCTTTTTCATTGTTTTATTTTTGGAAAGGTTTACTCAGGAAAATGGCTTTTGAAGTTTGTGTGTGTGGAAGTTGTGAGAAGATAGTAATGTACTCTGTGGATACTTTATTGATTCTGCTTTTGCCTAAGACGTTTAATTGTATCAGAATTTTGTTAGAACGGGTCAGAAAGGCCAGTTATTTTTTTGTCTATGCTTTGTTCAAAGTATAGTTAGGGAAATAAGTAGAAAGTCTATAACATATTTCTATTTTCTTTCAAGATTTTACTTATTTGAAAGAGTTAAAATGATAGAGACAAATAGATTTTCCATCTGCTGGTTTGCTCCCTGAATAACCCTCTGGCTGGGGATGGACAGTGAAGCCAGGAGCCTGAATTCCACTCAGGTCTCCCTCTCCCATGAGTACCAGGAACTCATGGCAGTCGTGATGCTGCTGGATGGCTGCTGTCCCAGGCACGTGAGCAGGGAGCCGGTCACCAGTACAGCAGCCCTGGGAAGTGCTCCCTTTCTGCAGTGCAGCTCTGAGCTTAGCTGCAAGGCTGGGAAGCTATCATTTCTACACTGGATAGTAAACTATTACATTGAACAGCAATGATCTTGCATACTCAACTGGTCTAGCTAAATGGACCTAAATGGATATTTGAGAATTATATACCTGCAATTCTATGGGTTTTCAGTAGTATAGTTTATAATTTTTAAATTTGTAGTTTGCTGTAGGTAATGTTTATGCCACACTAAGGGTCTTTATTGTTTTTTAACATTGATTTGATTTGATTTGAAAGACTGGGAGAGAGATCTTCCATTTGCTGGTTGAATTCCCAAATGCTCGCAGGCTAAAGCTTGAAGCCCAGAACTCAATCTGAGTCTCTCAGATGGGTGTCAGGCACATAATAACTTGGTCTTGCTGACCCACCACAATGGGCATTAAAAATTGCAGGTGTCCCCAGCAGCAACTGCCATATCGAAACACCTGTTCTGAATCTTTCTGTTGAATACTGGCAAAGCTAAAAATTAAGATGCTGTAGCATTAAAATAAATGTGTAGTAATTTCTGATGCTTGGGCCAGTGCTATGGTGTAGTAGGTTAAGCTGCTGCCAGGATCCCCTATGGGAGCTGATATTTCTGATCAGCTCCATGCTAACAGGACTCGGAAAGCAGCAGAAGGTGGTTCTAGTGCTTGGGCTCCCGTGATCACCTGGGAGACTCGCAGGAAGCACCTGGCTTTGGTTAGGCCCCACCCGACCCCGGCCATTGTGGTCATTTATGGAGTGAACCAGTGGTGGGGAGCTTCACTCTCTGCCTCTGCCCTCCCTCTCCATAGCACTACCTGTAAGTGAATGAATAAATCTTAAAACCAAGAAGAAAAAGCAGTGTTTAAGTTTATGGGCAGAGTGTAATAACCTACCTTTCGCAGGTCTCATTGTGCAGGCTGTTTTAATTTATGACAGTGTTCTCAACACCTGGTCAGTGTCTGCGGACCTGAGGACATATTTGGTGAATGGATATCGATTTTGGAAATATATTTCTGACCCGATATTTTTGTATGACAGTTGTTTATTTAATAACCTGTTACCAGTTATCTGAATTGGATTTTTTGCTTGTATTTGCAACTTATTGAATAAGCCTAAGTTTTTGTTTATAATGCCAGATAGTGGAAACACAAGGGCAAGACTTAAAAAGCAATTAAAATGATGTTTTCATTTATATGCCTCTTATAAGGAAGTAATTTTGTAGAAATGTGAGTGGCTCAATAAGAAATGAAATGCAAGTTAGATCGTGGTTGCCATTTCAGGCAAGCTACAAATGTTTCTTGACCAGTTGCCTACAGCTAAGGAGCTGCAGTGCTGTGTGAGAAACAACTCTGCAAGATGAAATTGCTTGAATGTAAAAGAATTTTCTATTTCAAATGAAATATTTCTCCTCATTTTAAAGTTGCTGAAAGGTTTAAAAACCTTGCTGATGTCTTTTTAAGTATGTGCATGTGATGCACAGGGCAGGGGAGGCACCCAGAGTGGTGCAGGTGAACAGGAGGAGGCTTGTGTCCCAACCCTGGAGACTCCCGGATCCCCACCAAGGACTGACAGTACGGACACCAAGGACTGCATCCCAACTGCCAAAGAGACCACTGGGAACTGGAATGCCTTTGGAGGCCGAGAACTCAGAGGACATTCCCCCCTCCCCCCCCTGGACCTACCATATGGGATGGAAGAAGCCCGAGCCTTCATCTTGGGACCGAGGGCCATTGGAACAACAGACAGGAACGCTGAGTGGTCCTCAGAACCAGAACAGTAAACCTCCTTCGGAATTGGGGAGAGGAGCTTTCTCTAGCCCTTGCTTGGTTCCAGCTTTGGGTCCTCACCCTCTCTGCAATGACCATTGGGGTTGCTCCAGAGCCCCCCCTCCAAACACACACACAAGTTAGAATAGATAGGCAGAGAACAAAAAGAAAAGCCTGATGAGCATAAACTCATACACACCAGGGAGGACACGAAGAATAAGCACTCCTCAGCAAGGCATTGAGAATTTCTCTGCACACCCCTCCTAAACTGTTTCGCACCTCAATTGTTGAAATGTCATCGAAGTAGTCACAGGATGTGGTTAAGAACTTGCTTACTCAATACTATGTCAATTAGTTCTACAAAATTATATATTGTTGCTGATGTTATGTTTGGGCTTGTAACTGACTGGGATTTTACTTTGTTGGCTCTAACTTTGGACCAGAGAGGGTCTCCCCAGGAAGCTGTTGAACTTATCTGGACGATGAGATGCTGGACTCTATGCTAGGTATAGGCTCACAGGGAAGGAATCTAAACTGAACTTGAACTGTGGATACTCAACAAAGTGGAGGAATCCACCATGGGCGGAGGATTGGGGGAGGAGGGGGGGAATTCCAGTACCCACAAAGCTGTATCACATAATGCATCGTAATAAATTGGAAAAAAAAAAAAAACGAATGTGCGTGTCTGAGAGCACTCATTTGCTGGTTCACTCTCCCCATGCGCCAAAGGCCAGTGGCAGAGTGTAATCCAGGACGTCAGGGTGCGGCAGCCCAAGGACAGGAGCCTTCACTTGTGTTTCTTAGGGCATGCACTAACAGGAGGCAATAGTCAGGAGTCCAGCATATGCAGTGTCTCAGCTGCTGTGCCATACGTTCTACCCACTGTGTGATTTGTTTTAAAGCAATATATATTGTATATTTTGAAGATGCCTTTGATTTGTACATTCTTTAAAAGTGTCTTGTAAGCAAATACCTACTTTTACACACTCCTTCCATTGGTCTGCTACCAGGCCAATCCATTCTCAGTAGCTTTGATGACTGCCTCCCCCTGCGACGACTGCCTCTCTCTGCGACTACTACCAAAGGAAAAACCTTTGGAAGCCATCGAAGCGTGCAGATTGGTCTACACCAGCACTGCGAACTGGAGACCTGTGGGAGGACTCCACTCATCATGTCCTTCTCCACAGTTGTGTGGTGACTCGGTCTGCTCTCGTGGCTTGTTGTGTGAATACACAGGTCTCTGTGGACTCCTCTCCTCTGGCTTTGTTCCTTTGAGCGTTGGGAAGCCACGTCTGTAAGCTCAGTGGTTTACCAGATGGCAGCTCACTTGGTGACACTTGTGAAGGGCTTGAGTATTTCTGAGAAACTGTATAGAAAGTACTTTTGAGATTAAATTTAGTCTCAAGTTAAATTTCTCAAATTACAGGAGGATAGTGTGTAAATGATTAGATTTTAAGTTTAGAATCTAAAACAGTTCTTATACATAGTTGAATATCCAGTGGTATGTGAGGCTGATTTTTGTTTTGCACTATTTTGCAAAACATGGGAAGTCTTACAAACCTTTCCCTACCCGCTAAGTGTTGGTCCCTAGGTCATTGTGTAAATCCACTGAGTCACACCTTCATCGAGAACTCCTAAACATTTGCAGAAATGAGGGTAAATTGTAGCAAAGGAAATATTCTTTAGATTTATGTGTCATTACTATTTTGTTGCCAGATTTAAGGTGTTTGCATTCTGCTTGAATTAACTTTTTGTAAGTTCAAGGATAATAAAGAGTGCTTGTTTAGATAAGAAATAGCATCCTACTTGAGAAGTGGTAAATGCAGAGTGGTAGAGTTGTTTTTTAAAATATTTAGTTATTTGAAAGTCAGAATTACAAAGAGAAAAGACAGAGAGGAGGAGAAAGATATCTTCCATCTGCTGGAAGCCAAGTCTTCAATGTGACTGTAATGACCAGAGTTAGGCCAAAGTCAAGAGCCAGGAGCTTCTTCCAGGTCTCCCTAGGGTGTCAAGGGCTTAAGCACTTGTGTTGTCTTCTGCTACTCTTCCATGTTTGTTGAGACTTGGCAAAAATTGATTATTGCTTTTCATAAAGAGTTTTGGGAGACTTTATATTTATCTAAAGATAATTTTGGTTTGTTTCAAAACTGATTTGAGAAGTAGAGACAGATGGAGAAAGAGCATGCCCAGGTGCCCACAGTAGTTGTGGTTGGGGTGAGCTGGGCCAGATCCTGGAGTGAGGCAATCGATCCAGATCTGCCTGTAACAGGAGCGCAGTGACCTGGACGAGCTTAGCTACCTGCCAGGGTGTGCATTACTAGGAAACCTGATCCAGAGCTGCAACTAATATGGAACACAGGCTCTCTGATGTGGATACCAATAGCCTAGCTGCCTTGTACCCACACCAGTAATATTTGAAGTTCAATAATTTTTATCATATAGCTTGGATAATAACTTTCATAAACATTATAAAAATATGCTCTAACTTGGTAAAATTAAATTATTTGTTTTATTGATTTAGTGCCTATGGGCTCCATTTGATTTGTATTGAACATTTATTTACTGCTGAGGAGTCTGTTTAAAAATCACCATGGTTACTGCCTGGATAAGAAAAATAATACCTTATAGCCAGGATTTCTCATGCCATGGCTTCCTTTCAGCTCACATCTAGGTCTCTGGGTTATTGGTAGCTATGTGTTATTATTGTTTTGTTTATCTTCACAGTAAATTTTTATTAATGTGTTTAAAAACTTATTTGAAAGGCAGAGTAACGCATACACACACACACACACACACACACACACACACACACACACACAGATCAGTCAGCCAATCTTCTGTCAGTATTGCCCTAGTGGCTGCAGTGATCAAGTCAAAGCCAGGAACTACATCCAACCTGAGCTCATGTGAGTGGCAGTGGCCAAGTGCTTGGGTCTTCCTGTGCTGGCTTCCTTTAGGCACATAGTAGGAAATTGGACTGGAATTGGAGCAGTTGGATTCAAAGCAGCACTCAAATAACGGGACGGCAGTGCGGGTGTCGCAAGCAGCACTGGCCCATTGGGCATTGTTGTTTTTTCCCTTGGTTTGTGATTTCTCTTCTAGTGGTTTCATTGCTGTCTTCTTTCTCCACTATTTTCTTAGAAATTTCTTGAGGCCATTTTTCCCTTTAGAGAACTGAAGGAATTTAGATCATTTTTTGACTCTAACCTTGCAGTTAATTATACTATTCTTGCCTAATATTTCATGAGATGATTTATTTTGCTGGTAAAAGTGGACTTTTGTGCAGTGGAGAAAAGGCAGTGGGACTTTGCAGTAGCCCACCTGGTTGCAGCCTACGTGGGTTGACTGGTCAGTTTTTTCTTTTACTAGAAAAGACTATGAAGTGGTCTTGGTTATTCCACATAGTGGACTGCTGTGTGCAGATAATCAAATGTATGGTTTAAAATTGTTTTAATTTTGATGTTTCACTTTTTCAGATGTAAAACGAAGATCAGAAACAGATTTAAAGACATGCAAAGTGAATTGGTACCAACCAGCATGTCGGAGACAGAGCATATAACCTCCATTTCCTCTGAGAAAAATATTGGGGAAACATCTGAGTTAAAGGAAGGTTCATGCATCTCATTTTCTGGTGATGGAAGCTGTAAATTAGAAGATGAGTCCAAAGTATTAGCATTAAACTGTGATAACACGTTATGTCAGTCTAATGAACGCAATAGTCAACTTGAAGCACGGGACAATGCTATTCTGGATCCTGATGGAGGTGAGGCTTCTTGTACTAACAGAGACATTTGCCCTGAAAATTCTGAACAAATGGCTGATTTTCCTAGTGGAGACTTTGCAAAGCTAGTTTCAAAAACAAGTGAAACAGAGCAGGCTGTCACACAAATATTGGCAGAATTACAATCATCTACGTTTACAGAAGCTGCTAAAGAAAAGACTTACTCAGAAAGTCCTTACGATACAGACTGCACCAAGAAACTTATTTCACAAATAAAGACTGTTTCAGCTTCAGAAGATTTGCTGGAAGAAATAGAGTCTGAACTCTTATCTACGGAGTTTGCGCAGGAACACCGAGTGCCAAATGGGATGAATAAAGGAGAACATGCGTTAGTGCTGTTTGACAAGTGTGTACAAGATAAATATTTGCAGCAGGAGTATACCATTAAAAAGTAAGTTTTGTTTTGGTTTTTATTCCTTTAAGAATGAATGTATACAATTTTGTCACTTTGATCTCAGTAAAGCTAAGAAAAAATAGTGAAATGGCTCTGTAAACACAAAATCGTTTGGAAATAGATGGATTTGTGAAAATTTCAGTAAAATGAAAGGTAGCTTTCTTTATGGAAAATTAAATGAAGGCAGAAGGAAAAAGATGAGTTGTTTTAGAGGAGATCTGAATCAACAAAGCATTTTATCTGAAATGAAAGTATGTGTATAACAAAAGATTAACCTAGATTTAAGATAAGCATATCTGGTGATTGTATAATGCCCAGGCAGGTCCCCCAGGAAAGTATTGTCCCCTCACTTGGATGCAGATGTGGAATCTGACTCGACAAGGTTGATGGGAGCCAGTGGGGTAGGTTCCAAGTCCAGACTCCAGATTTGTGTTTATCAACTCTGCCGCGCAACAACAAAAAATCCGGCTTTTACTGTTTTGGTGGTTTCTAAAGAAGTTTAACAAGTTGTGACTAGTGCATTTCTGTAACTGCATTTGTAAGACTGCTAAAGCCAGAGAGATTATAGCTATCACTGGCATGTGACCTTGAACCACAAGTCAGTCTGATCTCTACCGCAGGGAACTCATCTACCGGATTGGGATAGTATTAACAACAACACCCACTTCATCAAGGTGTTGACGAGTCTGTGGGCTAGTTTATGTAATGTGCCAGGCACATAATTAACTGCGTATAGGTGTTTGCTGCTATTATTAGCATTAACTAACGTGTAGAGTCACAAGGTCTGAGAAGTAGGAAGGGGCGCCCGAAAAAGTTCAAGGGCAAGGTGTGAAAGAAAGGCACCCAAGCAGCAGGAATATGAGGGGGTCCCTAAAAAGCAACCTCAGTAGGAACACCAGTGATTCATTCATTTGAAGCGTATGGTTTGTTCAGTCTGTTGTAGTGTTCCAGTAAGGGTACAAGGAGTGGTTGGCATTCGTTTTAGGGTAGGATTAACAAGGATCTTGAAGAGATATTTGTGCATACCTGTTTGTAAGAATAGGATCTACAACAGCCCAAAGAGAAGAAACATGGAGAGCCACTGACAGATGACTAAATAAATAATATGTGGTACATACTTACATATACAGTGTAGTATTATTCAGCTTTAAAAAGGGAGGCAATTCGCAGACATAGTACATACATGAAACCAGAGACCACTGTGTTCAATAAGCCCATCACAAAAGGTGAATTAAGTGGTTTCACTTAGATGAGATATCAAGACTAGTCAAACTCTCTCTAAACAGAATAGTAAGGTTGGTGCAGCAGCTGGGGATGGGGAGTTTGGAGCTGTTGCTTAATTTCCTTTGTCAAGTAGTTTTCTTGTAGCAGTGTACACTTTAAGCATAGAAGTGATCTAAATGAAACTAGTATAAATGGCCTAAATAAAGTTGTGTTTAATTTTGGCATCTTCACAGGCGTTTGTGTGATGGCTTCCTCACTGCATTCTTGTGCTCAGCTGTCACCTCCCTGAGAGATAATGTTTATCTGTCCTAAGATTTCAGCTTGTCGCTGTCCACTTGCACTGCTCTGTCATAATAGGACTTACTGTATGCACATATAGTTTTTAAATGTCTGTTTTCTCCCTTACAATGTAAGCCTGGAAGCAGGGGCTGCTGGCTAACATATACCCTCTATATGACATAGAAGGTGTGTAGTAACCCTCAGTAAGCATCTGTTCAATGAATGAGTCCCTTTCCAAGTAGATAGGCCTGGCAATTTGACTTGGACTCAAAACTCAATTCTATCACTTGTTAGCAGGGTGACCTAGAACTAGTTCTAGGCATTAGTTGTGCTTTAAAAAAATTATGGTTTATTTTGTTCATTTGAAAAACAGATAGATGACACAGAGATACTTCGTTGGTGATTCACTCCCTGAATGACTGTAATGGCCACATCTGGGCCAGTCCAGAGCCAGGAGTCAGGAGCCTTGTGCCGGTCTCAGGTCATTTTCTGCTGCTTTCCCAGGAGCATTAACAAGGAACTGGATCAGCAGAGCAACCGGATTGAGAACTGGCATCCATATAGAATGTCAGCGTGCAGCCAGCAGCGTAACCTGTTATATCACCATCCTAGCCCCTTTGCTTTTTCAAAATTCATAAAGCAGAAGTCATGATAATCTCATAGACTTACTTTGAATATTAAGTGAATAGTGCACTTAATCAAGGAAACAGTGTGTAGTAACTGTTAGGGAAAAGCTATTGCTATTAATAATCCCAGGATACTAGCTGTTAAGATGTTAACATTTAAGGTAGCATCTTCAGTTTCTGAATACTTGGCAGGTCATTTCATTGTTGTAAAAAGAGAAGAAATTACTTCTTGTGCTTTTTGTTTTATACTGACTATTGTAGGTTTGAATATCATTCAAATATTCTCAATCTAGAATAAGATTTTTTCCACTTTAGCATTTTTTGAGCCAGGTAATGTGTTATTGCTGGGCCTGTCACTGGCACTATGGGGTGTTCAGTGGCCTTTGCCACTAGATGCCAACTGCAGCCCTTACTCCCTAAGTAACCCTTGGGTGAGAACCACTTACTTTAAAGTGTTCTAATGCTGAAGGCATGCAGTGCACAACTGAGGTAAGAAACCTATAGGCTTAATGGGGTGCAGTTTTCCTTACTTGATTATTTATTTCTTGACTTGAAATACACAAAATTTTTCAGAAAAAAATACAGTCTGATTGGCCCGAGATTGTTTTGAAAATGTCACGTTATCACTGAAAAGGAACTGTTAAGGATGTGGCTAATCCTCCACCTTACAAGTCTTGGGATCCCATATGGGTGCCAGTTCACGTCCTGGCTGCTCTTTTCCCATCCTTTCTCAGCTTGTGACCTGGGAAAGCAGTTGAGGACAGCCCAAAGCCTTGGGACCCTGCACCCATGTGGGAGATCTGGAAAAAGCTCCTGGCTCCTGGCTTCAGGTCAGATCAGTTCTGGCTGTTGGCGGCATTTGGAGAGTGAAACAGCAGATGGAAGATCTTTCTTTTAATCTGCCTTTCCAATAAAAATAAATGAATCTTTTAAAAAAAGACAAGGGTTATTGTTTAGAAATGTTAATTTATTATAATCACAGATTTCTACACCCTAATCACATTTCATTTTATTTCCACTATTACATTTCACTGTCTTTGTATTTAGGTTAATTAAAGAAAATAAGAAGCACCAGGAGCTCATCGTAGACATTTGCTCAGAAAAAGACAATCTCAGGGAAGAATTAAAAAAAAGAACAGAGACAGAGAAGCAGCATATGAGCACAATTAAGCAGGTAAAAAAACGGAGCTCTTTAAAGACTTTGAAAATGAGATTGTATTCCTGAAAAATGGTGTGCTTTGAAGTTTGTGAGATAAATCATATGTAAATTTAGAGGATTTCTTAGTATTTCTCTTTTACTAACTGGAAATTGTAGCCTGACATATTTTCACTTTATACATTTATATTTTATGGTATACGTGACTTCTGATACATTATAATAGAACATATTCTATTATGTTCAGAATAGCAAAAACACTTTGATTTCACAGTCAGACTGGTTCTACCAGCTGAAAGAAGAAGCAACAGACACTTTAAAGTCTGGCCTTAGAATATTTGTAAGTTGACCGTGTAGAATGGTTCTGTTCTCGGTGTTTTTGCACACGTGCTATGAAAGTGGCTTTCCTGTTTGGCCCTGTGCCTGCAGCCTGTCTTCCCTAGCTTGTCCTTTCTGTCTTGATTTTCATGAATTCCGATGCTTGGACCAGGCGCTGCTGCTGAGGCAGGTCCCGGAGCTGAACTGCTCCCCCTCGACACTGCTCCCCTAGGTCTCTCCTTTCCCGGAGATGGATGTAGTGAAGCTAACACTAAACAATTGACAATAACAAGAAATTAACCCAAAATTTCCCTCGCTTGTGCTTCTGTGTATTTAATGTACATTTACATAATTGAAAGGTAGCCATATTCATCATGTTTTATGTGTAGTATTTAATTCTGATTTTTGTGTACTCTAGTGCCATTACATGTAAATGAATCTTAAGTGTGAAGGAGCCCTGACTCAGGTTGTGATGGTCTTGTCACTGCTAATGACCAGAAATTTCATGAACAAAAGACATAGAACCAGACCTCTCCTTTCCCTAGGTGATCCAGTGGTTGTACCTTATTTATAGAAAATTGAATTCACTTTTTTGTTTTGGTTTGGTTTTTGCTGGCACTTTGAGAATTACAATTCTAAACAGAAAGCTTGCCTAGCAGAATTTTCTTGAATTTTATCCCTGGGTGTGCACTGTCTAGGATAGGAACCCAATTTCATGTAATTCGAATACTTGAAAGGTAGCAAGGCTAAATTGACTTCCTGTAAGTGGAAAATACACACCTAATCTTACAAGACTTAGTACTAAAATAAAAGGCTTTGCTGTTGATTGTATACTGAAATAATATTTGTTGATGTGTTGAAATGATATTTGTGATCTATTGAGTTTTATAAACTATTGATTATGTATTAAAATATTTTGATGTGTTGAAATAATATTTGTGATCCACTGAGTTTTATAAACTGTCTTACCTTTTAAATTGTGACTACCACAAAATATAAATGTGGTTTATATTCTTATTGGTTGATTTGATTGTAAGTAATTTTGTTAGGGCAGTTAGTACAAGTGTACTTCAAGCTAATGCTTTGGTAACTTTTCATAGCTTTATTGATATCCTTCACATGCAGTTATTCATGTCAGGTGCTCAGGTGAGTGATGGCTACTTGTGCAGCTTTCACCATCATTCTGGGGCATTTTATCACCCTAGGAAAAAACTCTAAAAAATTCTATGCTCACTAGTAGTCACTGTTGATTCCATCCTACTAACTCTGGGGAAATAGCTAACAGACTTTCTTTATATTCACTTGTTTTTTTCACATAAATGAAATCCTGTTTTTACACTTACTAATGTTTTAATGTTTTACTTGGGTTGTAGCATGTGTCGTTATCTCACCCTTCCTAGTGGCTGAGGTATCCCTCTCTGCCTCACAGCATTGTGTCCATCCTTCCAGCAGGTGACGAGGGGACATTAGGATGTCCGTTAGCTGAGTCTTATGAGGCATGTTTCTATGCACACTTGTGGGCAACCTTTTGTATGGACATACGCTGTTTCATTTCTCTTTGGTATATTTCAATAAATTTGAAGCTGTTCCTTTCATGTGGGTAGGAGTTCATGAAGAATTGGTATTAAATATTTCTTGGTAAATAAATTGGTTTTAAATATTGGGTTTTTTTTGTGAGTAGGTTTTTGTGAGTAGAGGGTGTTGTTACTACTTAATCTCCTTATACATTTATTAACATCTTGTATTTCTTCTTAAGCAAGTTTTGATATTTTATGTCTGGAAATTGTCCTTTTCATCTCAGTGAAATTGTTCATGCTATTCATTGTCATTTTGCTTTATGGAAGTTTGCTTGTAATGTTTGTTTCATTTTGATTTTTAGTTGTTTGAGTCTTTTTCTCAGTGTAGCTAAAGGATTGTTTTGCTATTTTCAGCAAACCATCTCTTAATTTTTGTCAGCTATTTCTTTTTTCTTTTCCTGTTTCATTCATTTCTTCAGTGGGCTCCTTTTCCAGAGTCCTCACGTTGACATGCAGTTACTGGTCTGCGCTCTTTGCTCCATCGTCAGGTTCACTTACTAAATGGTCGCCGCTGTCAGGCCTGGGTAGAGCCAAACCCCGGCGGCGTTTCAGTTCTCCCGCACAAATGGCAGGGCTGTGAGTACCTGAGCTGTCATCCACGCATTCCCAGGCACAGTGGCAAGGAGCTATTTTGAAACAGAGCAGCCAGGACTTACACAGGAACTCTGATCTGCTGGCATTACAGATGGTGGCTTCACACACTGCACCACAGTGTTGACTTTAAAATAATGCTTTATTTTAAAGATCTGTTTGTTTATTTAAAACGCTGACTGACAGAGAGGGAAATTTTTGGTTTATTCAAATACTGGACCATGAGATGTGGTCATCTTTTGCCTTCCCAGGCTTCTGAGCTGGAATTTGGGTGGGAAGTGGGGAGACCAGCTGGGATTCCAACTGGCGCTATGATATGGTCTGCTGGTGTTGCAGGCAATAGCTTAACCCACTGCTCCTCAGTGTCAGCCCTGCCCTAGTAACAGTTTGTCTTGGCCTGTTCTGTCATGAGTGTAGGCACTTCCGCTTGCTTAGGATTGCTGATTTTTATTTGATGCTATATTTCCATCCTGTTTGTATCTTTGAATCTAAAATGATTCCTATAGAGAGGACATTCTTGGAACCTATTCTGTCATTTTCTACTTTTTTCTACTATTATTATTAAATCTGTTTTTGATTTACTGGTATTGACAGTTGGATTCATGTCTGCCATTTTGCTTTTTGTTTTCTACATGTCTCAGCTTTTGTTCTTCTGTTCTTTCTCTACTGCTTACTTTTCTATCAAGTGAATGTATTCTAATGTTACATTTAAATATCTTTCAAGATCTTTCAGTCTCTGTCTCTGCTCCTTAATGAGTGGGTACAGCAAGAGCTTACCTATACCCCTTAACTTACCAAGTGTCTTTAGGTTTGTACTGACTTAATTCCATACGTTACAAAAGTGGTTATTCAGTGAGGTGTATTCATGGTTAGTGTGTGAGTATATTCTTGGTTTCTTTGCATTGTATTTACTTAGGTTTTTTTTTTTTTACCTGTTTGGTATCCTTATAAATAACCAGGAAATACTTTTCTTTACAGTTGGAATCAAGAATAGAGGAACTTACTAAAGAAGTCAAAGCTTCCAGAGATAAACTGATAGCTCAAGATGTCGCAGCTAAAAATGCAATTCAGCAGTTACACAAAGAGATGGCCCAGCGGATGGAACAGGTATCTTTCTACATCATTGTCATCAGCCTGACACTGCAGTGGCTCCTTCTCAATTATTAGAATGAATTTCACTGGTAGGCCATTATAGACTTTAGGGACATAGTAGTAATTTATGTGAAAATTAACTAAAGGAATATATGTCAGTTATTTTAAAAATGAACAAATTAGGAAAAATATCGGGAGGAAAAGAAAGTATGTTGGGGTGGAGATCCCTGTTTCTCTTTGGTTCTCCTTCTCTTGCCTCCAATCTCTTCATAGCTCGTTTCTCATCCCCTAGCTACTTGTTGATGTTCTGATGACGTAGCCTGGAACCTGGAACCTGCGTTCTGTGGTGAGGGCCTCTGTCTGCATCACAGGTGGCAACTTCTTTAATCTTTACAACAACCTGAGAGGAGAATATTATGAAACTAGATTTTGGAGACTGTTCCTTTTAATTATTTATAGATCTTCATTCTTTTTCCTCCCTAACTTTTCATTTCAACTTCTTTAGAATTCTAAATTTGTAGAGAAGATGAAAGAAGAGTAAATGGAACACCTTTTCCCTAGAGTAATCAAACCTAGTAAATTCTCGTATGTTCATACATACACACTGGCCACGTCCTCAGTTTCATTTTCTGACTCAAGACTTCCAAGTTTCATCTCTCAGATAGCTGGAAGGAATAGAACCTCGAAAGTAGGAGAATAAAGCTTTTTATAAATCCTTGGGATCTTGATGGGAAAAGCCCCATTTGTGCCCTTTCATCGCCTGGAACTTAAAAAATGTCTACAAGGCTGTAAGGTTGTATCTGGTATGTCATTCGGAATTTTCTTCCTTGTTTTAGTTATTTTGTTTTTTTTTTTTTTTTCAACCCTGGGGAGTTTGTCATTCTTTCTTGTGAACTGAAATGTACATTAAAAGGTATTTATTGCATTTCATCTAAAGTTTTGGTGCATTGCAATGAATGAGGAATTATTTGCTGTTGTGGCCAGATTTTGAGATCCCAGGAAAATCATCAGGAGTCTGAAGTCAGTGAAAACTCAAGGGTGGTTTATTCAGACCTGCCTTGGCTCCCAGCCACCACCCCAGCCCAGCGGGACTGGGGGAGCAGCAGTAGCCACCGCGGTGGCAGCAGCAGTAGCAGAAGAAGGGCCAGATGAAGGGGCAGGAAAAAGGGGCGAGGTTGGACAGCACAGGGCTTTTATACATTTCAGGCCAATTCCACACAACTGTACGGTCATGATTGGTCAGTTTAACTGTTTACTTTTTTTTTGTTTTAACTTTATCCATTTTTTAAATTATATTTTTGACAATGTTTGCCTAGTTAGTTAGGGTAAAAAGATTCAAGGGCTACAGGAAAGTGGGTAAGACTTATTTCCATATTGTGTCCTTCATGTATCTGAGATAAAGGGGGATAACTGTTTACTTTTTAAAAAGAGCATTTTGGCAGATGGGTTTGAAGCAAGCAACTTTCAGATGGTACAAATTGGTGGGTTATGGAGTAGCGAGCAAGTCTTATCTAACAAGCACACCAGGGGTCTCCCTTGCTAGGAGTGCTCTGCCTGCATACCTGCCAGGCGTCACGGAGACTGTCAGGCCTGGAGTTCACACAGCTCCTCAGCCAAGCAAGCAGGCAGAAATCACCAGAGCAGAAAACGCTGAGGTTCTTCACTGCCATGATTCAAAAGTGGGACTACTTACCTTTTATTTCAGTTTTACCAAGTTATCAAATTCTGTTGTTTAGCTGATTCATGCTTTATTTCTTTTTAAAAAAGATTTGTTTATTTTTGTTTGGAAGGCAGATTCTGCAGATAGGGGAGGAGAGACAAAGAGAAAGGTCTTTCACTGCTGCTTCTCTTCCCAAATGGCTGTAATGGCTAGAGCTGATCCAAAGCTAGGGACCAGGATCTTTCGCCTGATCTCCCACTTGGGGCCAAGTCCTTGGGCTCTCCTCTGCTGCTTCCCCAGGCTCTAAAGCAGAGAGCTGGATTGGAAGTGGAGCAGCCAGGACTGGCACGCAGATGAAATATTGGTGCTAGCAGCTGGATATTCCCCATCACGCCAGTTCCAATTCATGCTTTTTATGTCATCTACGTTAGTGATAAGCATCTTAAATTGCTCAGACAATAAGTGATACCTTTTCTTTATCTGTTGCAAATGGACTTTCTACAATAGTTTAAATAACAATTGTTGTGTTATCTTGTTGAATACTCCCAAAAACCCTTTGAGATAGATGCAGTTAGAGGACCTGAGGAGTGAGCTTTGCACAAACACAGCTAAGAATTGCTCTGTCTCAGGCATGTCTCGCAGGGACAGGGCTGTTACTTGATACAGATATTCATCATAATTCACTTTGTCTATTCTATCCTTTTTTCTAGTTTTTCTGCTTCCCATCTCTCAACTCTAGTGCTTTCATGTTGTCACTGGGTTAAAATGTGTAATAAAAGGCTTTCATTTATAAACCCATCGTTAACTTCCAGTTGTCTGTAGGATAAATTTTGAACTGGTTAGCATGATGTGAGAATTTTTTCCTATTAAAATCTAGACTCTACATTTTCCTGTTTTTGTGACTATTTACTGCCCACTTGGAACTCCAGAGTCAAACCCTGGAAAATAACTTGATACCCATAAAATGGATTGTGCTGTTACCTGCCTTCAAGTGTTGGCATATAATGTTTATTTCCGTTCTTTGACTCCTTGTATTCTTATGATTCCTAGCCAGAGTTTAGCACCATTTACCCTTCCTGCCAATTCCACAGAATGTATTTTTATGTTCTCAAAGGACTTTTGTGCATCGATCCACTAGAGTTTATTGTATTATGTTAGTGTCTGTTTATATCTTTTCTCACTGGCTGGTAAGCTCTTGGCAAAAGTCTTGATATATTCTGTGTGTTCTCAGACTTAATAGATTACCAAGAGCCCACATTTCTCTTGAAACTTACATTGGACCGTTAATTAACCTTTTCTCAGTTCAGTTACTTATTTTAAACCAACTGGTTCTGTTAGGAGATTTGAGGACTAGTTTCTTAGTTCTTGTCTACAAGTACATTGTCAAGTCCTTACATGTCTATGACATCATTAATCCAGTAAATTCCAATTGAGTATTTTTAAAATGTCTATTTGTGGCATTCTGTTGACTAGATGGGTTTATCTGCAGTACTAGAACATCGTACAGTGTTTTTATCAGTTGTTTCAGAGTGTGAGAGTTTTTCCCACATTCTCCATATCTTTTGATTGTCTCTTATTTAAAGTCAGAGAAGGATGGAAAGAGATCTTAAAACGGCTGGTCGGCTCCCTGAATGCTTGCATCAGTCAGGCTGGAACAGGCTAAACCAGAAACCCAGAACTCAGTCTGAGTCTCCCATATGGGCAGCAGAGACCCAAGTACTTGAGCCGTCACCTGCTTCTCAGGGTGCTCATTAGCTGGAAACTGTATCTGAAGTAGGGTAGCAGAACTCAAACCAAGCCCTCCAGTATGGGATACAGGGACACCAGGGTACAGGATACACCTGGATACAATGTGGGATACAGGAGACACTGGATGCAGTGTGGATACAGGTATCCATACTATGAAGTTTGGGGTTCTGTTTTTTGTGAAACATTCTGTGTTCTGTCATATTTACAAATTATTCCTTAGAAGAAGAAGCGTGCATGGATTTTGAGCATGTCCCCCAGTTCTTGGTGTGGTGTTGAGAGCTGGTGGAGCCTCTGGAGACAGGGTCTTCTGAAAGATGATGGCGCAGATGGAGCCATCTTGGATAGGGTTACTGCTGGTCTGGAGCGATGAGTTCTTATGACAGGGGACTGTTATAAAGGGATGCTGTCCTGCCTGCGTGGCTATTTTTGTGTGTAGCTATTTCCCTTTCCACCATGTTATGAAGCATCTAGGGACTCTGCCACAATTCCTGTACTGGACTGGACCCTCCAGCCACCAGAATTATGAAGCAAATAAAATGTACAAGTTGTCCAATCTTAAAATATTTTTTATTACATGATGGGCCAGATTATTAATACAGGCTATAATACAAGCTACTACTAATACGGTGCAAATTTATTCATTATAGGAAATTTCAGAATATGGAGTATTAGCTTTACTAATAGAAAATTTTAAATAAGCAAATAATTCAATTAGGAGCAGCTGTGAAATATTTCACAAAACTTTTCATAAATAGAAAATGAAATGATCATTAATTGGTATGTGGATCCTTTGGTGATTTGAATTGGTTATCAGTTTTAGAAAATGTCTGCCATGCCTTTGAGCTCTTGACAGAAAACATATGATACACAAACTGATGATTCAAGAATTTAGTCAAAGGACTCATCATAGAGATGTGGGTAAACTTCCAGGATTACAGAGAGGGCAGATGCAAGGACCTGGAGGGGCCATCGCCATGTTTGAGCCTAAGGAACAAGGAGAGGAAGTAAGCACAGGGATGGGCTCTGTCTAGTCTGCAGGCCATAAAACCCAGGAAGTTACTTGTTCTGACCCTGACCAGTAACCACAGGTGGATTCAGTCAGTAAATCTGTAACAGGCTAATCTCTAAGTTAATAATTTTGTATGACTCATGAATGATGTTACAAATATTAAAATAGCCCTTGATAGAACAGAGCTTTCCCCTGCCCCCCGAGTAGGGATTACACTCCAGAGAGAGTAGGTGTCTGGCGGCAGCAGTCAGCCACACTGTGACTCTACCTGGTGCCTCCTATGAGCTGAGCCCAACTGGAGGTTTGAGTATAAGGGGATCCGTTGGTAAGGACCATGGCGGTCATCTTCCCAGGGCACATGGTAGAACAGAAAAGCATGGGAAGGCAAACTAGAGGAGTAAATGGAAAATAACAAACCTTCTAGCCAAAGTTGAATAGGAAAAGGGTAAAAACAAATGCTAGTAGTGTTGAATGTTGCCTTTCATTTTAAAATTTTATGGCACAATTCCTGGAAATGATTTGCAAAAGATGCATTCATATTTTAGAAAAATATTTTTGTGTCTTTTCATTTGAACAAAAAATAACTGTGAATGTTGGGTAATACTTTTTTTCAAAGGCTAACAAGAAATGTGAAGAGACACGGCAAGAGAAAGAAGCAATGGTGATGAAATACGTAAGAGGTGAGAAGGAAGCTTTAGACCTCCGAAAAGAGAAAGAGGTGCTTGAGAGAAAACTTAGAGATGCAAATAAGGAAAATGAGAAGAACACTAACAAAATTAAACAGCTCTCTCAGGAGAAAGGCCGGTTGCACCAGCTGTATGAAACGAAGGTAAAACTTGCCATCTCTTTGCTTTTCCTGTGTAATTAAGTACTTACAAGTTAGCCCAGTTAAAACTCGATGTGAAATTGCTTTTATTATTTTGCGTTCTAAGAATGTGTTTAGTGATTCCACTGTCTTATTAGCTGTCTGAAGATTAAAGGTTTACTGAGGAAAAGGTGTTTATTGGATAGCTTTCTTAATAGTTCTCTTTAAAAGCTTCCTCTTAAAATCTCTATATTGGAGTAATTAATGTCTCAAGGGAAGATTGAATTTTGGTGAAGTGTATACATAGTTGTTTCTTGTGTGATTGGTTTTAGTGCCAGGCTATAAATGTGATGAAAATCTTGATGTGATGCCCTAGAACAGAATGCATTCTTGCAGAAGAACATGTCCTCATTAACCTGTGGCCGAGGAGACGTGGTCTCTGACCAACCTGTTCAGGACTGTCTCTACTAGCAGCTGCACCAAAAGATTGTACTTACCTTTATATCTTGGTGATGAAAATTATTTTTTGAGTCATTATTTCACAAAAATGTCTTTGTTCTCAGGAATTCTAAAACTAGTTTGTCTTAATACCAGCCAGAGAATCATCAAAGTGTGCTTATGCTCAAATTGCATCTAGGTGGTTAGAATATAAATGTTGATCATTTTCCTGTTTACTGGATTCGGGTTTTACTGACCTCTTATCATTTGAATTTTAAATCAGTTTTATGGCCTACGGACCAACGTATAATCCCTTGATTATAGTGTTAACTGTAATTATTTTGAGAGGATATAAAATATACATAGGTAATTAGTTGGTTGTTTAAATAAAAAATATGACATGGTGATACTGTTTTAGGAAGGGGAAATGACTAGACTCATCAGAGAAATAGACAAATTGAAGGAAGACATCAACTCTCACATCATCAAAGTGAAGTGGGCACAGAACAAACTCAAGGCTGAGATGGATTCTCACAAGGTGAGTCCTACGGAGTTTGGGTTGTGGTTGGACATCAGATTCAAGAGCAGATGTGTCTGACAGTAAGAGGTGCAGCTTGCCTTAACAGCATCTGCAGAGTAGCTTGAATATTTAGTGATTTTGCAGAAGAAAATTTTCTTATCCCATATAAGGGGACATAAGGGGAAAATGTTTAATTTTCTCATTCACTTTCTTTGATGCCAAATTTGCCTTAATTAGGCATTGTTTGAATGCAAAATTTAATGCCATTTTAAATTCAGGGAGAAGTGAATATATATAATCAACACTGAAATAGACCCCAGGAATTTAAGAAATCTCTGATACTAAGAGTCTTATAATCAAATGCTATACTTTGTTTTTTTGTTTTTACTTTTTCCATTTTTTTATTATATTTTTGACAATCTTCACATAGTTAATTAGGGTAAAAAGGTTCAGGGGCTACAGGAAAGTGGGTAAGACTATTGTTTCCATTCCATTTCCTTCATGTATCTGAGATAAAGGGGGATATTAAGGGAGAAGCCTCACCCACCCCAGGTCCCCAATGTGGGGCACACTCTGAGGGTCTTGCTCAAGTGGTTTTGATGGTTCAGCAGTTCTGAATTGCTACCAAGGTGCTGTGCTTTGATCATGTCTTCATCACTAGAATATCAGCCTTCTGTAGGCAGAGAGGTTGTGGTTTCCTGAGAGCATAGAAGAGCACCTAGTGTGTTTAGGTGCTTAGTGACTACTGAGTCCAGGAATAAATGTGATCCTATCTTTTCCTGTATTCAGAAGTTCTTTTATTTAATACAGGCTTGTTTCGCATGTAGGAATTTCTCAATTACTGGTTTTTTTGTGTGTGTGAATGAAGTAAGTGCCCACTATGTGCTAGGCTCTGCTTTACTTACTGAAAATAGGTTGTGAGGAGGGAGAAACAAGATAAAGCTCCTCTGTTTCAATTCTCACCAAGTCTTGTTTATTGTTTTGTTTGTACAGTATTATTATGTTTTAAATTACTATTTTACAACATGATTCCATAGGCTCTGGGATTTCTCCTCTCCCATTCTTAAGTCCCTTCCTCCCTTTCAAAAATCCCCTCCCATCATTGGTTTCCCCTATATTAATACAGTAATGTTATCCTTTATAAACAGTCACATGTCCATCATTCTGTTACGTAAATGTAACCTTACAATGTAGACATGGACAATGGAAGAGAGTCCAGCATCCTGTTGTCAGGACAAATTTAACAGTTTCTTTTAGAGTTCATTTTTGGGTTGGAAGTAGAAATACATACTGCATTGCATCTCTACAGCTGGTTATAATAGTTTCTATTACACAGTTACTATACTTCCCCTTATATGAAAAGCCATAAACAAAGCAACAACAGGAACAGGAGCAAAAATTTACAGCAATATAAAGTTAAATAGCATGCTGCTGAATTACCAATATGTCTGATTGCTTTTCAAAAATTAGTATTTGAAAAAATATCCAAATTATTGTGAATTATGGATAAAATGGCTGAAAAGGTCGGAAGAAAGGCATTTTTTCCAAATGAAGAGCAGCAGGAAGAGAGAAGGAAGAATGGTGCTCAGGGAGATGAACCTGCCGAAAGCAGAAGGCTTATATTGGGTTTTCCCCCATTAATTCAGAAAGTCTTAATTAAGTGATTAATATGCAACATGTATGTAGTTAGTTCAGCAGGGAAATTCTGTAACTTACTGAATAGAATCTCAGTGCAATGTTTCAGTTGTAAGAAGGTGGGGCATCTTTGGATTATGCAAAGTCAAGAGACAGTGTGTTCCTTTATAAGGGAAACTACTGCGAGGAGGTGATCCCTAGCTGGTGCTTTAAAATTCACAGGCTAGCCCAAATGAGAGCACTAGATTGGTTCTCTGAAGGAGATTCATGGAGAAAGAGCTGATGAACAAGGACTGTCTTGAAAATCACCCACAATAGAAAAAGTCAAAGAACAGTGAAGAAGGAGGAGGGAGGAGAAACGGGCTGAGAGGAAGGCTGCTCAGCGAGTTTGGGGGTGGAGGTAGGCTGCTTAGCACCGAAGCAGGTAAGGATAGAAATGAGCCAAAGTGATTGGGATTTATGAGGGGCTGTTAGGTTAGGGACGGGAAGTGCACCGCAGCATCCGTCTGTAAGCAGTCAGCTGTTAACGCACACTAGCCATCAGCTTGAGGCTTTTCTCGGAGAGCTGTCAGATGGTGACTCCTGGTGATTACTGAAAGTGCTTAGACTTCTCACTTTATTGAATGATTAGTTAGCTGTGTAAACCATTTTAATTTTTTATTGTAACAATTATTCCTAGAATAGTATATGACTCTTCAGTGGCAGTCCTGGGGTAAAAGATTGATTTTCTGAACAAACTTGAACAAAAAATTATTCACAATACCATGACCAACTTTGTGTCTTGCTTTTCCCTCAATATAGGAAACTAAAGATAAACTCAAAGAAACAACAACAAAGTTAACACAGGCAAAGGAGGAAGCAGATCAAATACGGCAAAACTGTCAAGACATGATAAAAACATATCAGGTATGCACAGGTTTCCAGATATTCTTGTTTCATCGTATTTCTATGTCTGAAATATTTGAAATAAAGAACACGTTTGATAGGATAGGACATAAAATGTGCATTATTCCCTGTACTAAAATAACTAACTGAAATGGCTCCTACAGGGGTTCAGTAAAAGAGAACCAGGCTTGGAAGCCGAGCCAGGACTGCAGCTCGGACCCTGCACTGTAGGCTGCAGGTGTTCCAAGCAGCATCTTGGCTGTTGGGTCCCCGGCTCACTTCTAGACATGGGCTTTGTACATAAGCTCTGTAGTTTATACTTAGTGAACTTAATTGCAGCCTTCTTCACCTTGCAAAGTATAAAACTTGAGAAATTTATCTTTTTTTACTTCTTTTTTATTAGGAATCAGAAGAAATTAAATCAAATGAGCTTGATGCAAAGCTTAGAGTCACAAAAGGAGAACTTGAAAAGCAAATGCAAGAAAAATCTGACCAGCTAGAGGCAAGTAGTTTTACTCTTTGTTTTAATTACACCATAGGATATTTGTGTAACATAGGAGTACAAACAATGAATAGTTATTACCATCTGACCTTTTAGAAGGGGCAAGCATTACTGTTTAGATGAAGCTTAGTGAATTGTAATGTGTGGGTTTTTAAAATTTTTTCTTAAAGATGCATCATGCCAAAATAAAGGAGTTGGAAGATCTGAAGAGGACGTTTAAGGAGGGTATGGATGAGCTGCGAACACTAAGAACCAAGGTAATCATGTGTCTGGTCCGGACTCTGGAGAAGTGCCTTTAGTTTTATGTTCATTCTGATTTTTTTTTTTTTACCATAATGGGGAAGGCTATTTATGTAGAAAATCCCCAGAATATGAGAAGTTAGAGGAATAATTCTTCAGCAGCAAAATAAGATTTTGTCGTTGTGAAGTGAAAATATTTGCATTTCATAGCACATAGCAGTTTATCCTTGGGTCTTTGATCTGAAGAAGAGCTTTTCAGCAAATCACTTGGAATCATTTGTCAGAGAATAGTAGGTGTAGTTCCTCTGTATTTCTTCTGGGTTGGTGAGTGGTCTCCCAGGCGCGAGGAGCACCTGTCCTGTGGGCAGTAGAAGGCCTCAGAATCATATGATCTGGCCTTGCCAGCGGCAGCCAAAATTCAGATGTCCAGCAGGCTGATTTTTAACTTGATCATTTTGAATGGCTCATGAATGATGTTATAGCTATACAAGTGGCCCTTGCCACAGAAAAGGTTCCCCACCCCTATCTTAGTTAGATATAGTTTTCATTTGTAACCATCTAAGTAAATTCCTTCTGCATTTGCAGTGTTCAGTAGAATAATAGCATCTCTTTTAATATGAATATATTATTACCTTGTATCATTTATTTAGAAATAGATTTTTAAGTTACTACCTTGAATTTTGGGTTCCTTATTGACTTTCCGAGTCTTATAGCCTTTCTTATTTGTTCTCCATGACATTTTCATCAAGGAAAGATGGCAGCCTTCTTGTTCAGATGAAGAAATAGAGATTGAGTAGAAATACATGACATGCTGAAACTCCCATGACTAAATCTTAGAAAATCCAAGACTAAGACCGAGGGATGTTAAATTCCTTTTATATTTTCTTCATATTAATTAGTAATGCTCTAGAATTCAGTTTTTATTATTAATATATAGCTATTATGGCCAGAGTTTGTAAGGAATAAGAAAATATTGTTTGTGATTTAACTTGGTTATGATCATTTGATAGGTAAAATGTCTAGAAGATGAACGATTAAGAACAGAAGATGAATTATCAAAGTACAAGGAAATCATTAATCGACAAAAAGCTGAAATTCAGAATTTATTGGACAAAGTGAAGATTGCAGATCAGACACAGGAACAACTTCAAAGGTATGAAATGAGCAGCCTCTGTGTTAGCATTCCGCTGTCTCAGTTGTTAAATGCAGTTTTTGCATCTCCTAGGTAAAAATTTTAAGTTCACATTTTCATTTGAATTTCCGTATTGACTTCTAAAATCAAAGTTTATGTTTCCTAAAAATTGACAGTAAGAACTTTATAAGGCCGAATGGATTTATGTGGTCTCTTTTTCCATTCTGTTCTTTCAGATTCTGTGCTTTTCAAATTTCTTAAACTCAGGACTTATTGTTTCTTCAAAAAGGTAAATGTAGGTCTGACTCTGGGTCTAGTTCGTTGGGCGCATGAGTGTAGCTGGAGGTGAGGAGATGGCGGTGTCCATTGGCTTCTCATGAAAGCGTTGAAGCAAGTACCTGGCGGAGCCTCAGTCTGGGTTGATTTCAACTGCGGTGCTTTCTTTTCCACACCTCACCGACAGCCGAGCTGCTGAGTGTAGCCAGGAAGAGCTCGCCACCGTCCAGGCTGATGCTGCTGTAAATGGCTAGTTGCCGACCTGCTGACATCAGCCCCTTAACTTCCTGCACTGCAGCCTTTCTTCCCGACTTGATCAGTCTTTGTCCTGCTGCTGTGTTTCCCTTGATGTTGGGCCTTCATTGATGATTCCTTTTTTATCTATGTCTTATTACTTCTCTCTAGTTTTTCTTCGTATGTTGTAATGTAGTTCATTTTTAAAAGATTTTTATATGAAGTTTTAGAGTTGCAGAGAGGGAGAGATAGAGATCTTCAGTCTACTGATTGACTCCTAAGATAGCTACAGTTGCCAAAGCCAGAAGCTTCTTCTGGATCTCCCAAGTGGGTGTCAGTTTCCCAAACAGTTGGGCCTCTTTTGCTGCTTTTTCCCGGCCATTAGAAGGGAGTTGGATGGAAAGTGGAGCTATCCACATGAACTGTACCCATATGGGATACCAGAATTTCAGGGTGGCAGCTTTCCCTAGTATACCACATCAGCTCCTAAATATAGGTATATTTTTTAAAATTCCAAACTCCTGTGACCTTCACCAAGCAGTTTATTTTTCTCCTTCCCTTTTCAACCAGAATTTTTGTTCTCTTTCCTATACCATCTGGTCTGTTCCTTTTTGTTTCCTTCTAATTACCGGGCCACATCCATCTCTGAGTGCCTTCTGAAACATAGTGGAGACATCTTGGACAAGAGCCAGCCTTGCTTGAATTGGTGGTGTCTTTGAGCACCATGGGTCTTTCGTGACCTGTTGCTTTACCTGTTGCTTTGGCATGGCTTTTGGCATGCTCGCTAGTGTCCCTCCCACCTTTCTGGCCACTGTCTCCTTAGTGGGCTGCTTCTGTCGGAGAGCTTCTTTGGTCTACTTACAGTATATCCCTGGGCAACCCCAGCACTCCTGTGACATGCTGTACCACCTTTGGCTGTTTTTGCTCAGCCTTCAACACACACGTGTCAATGACACCTCAAATCTCTCAACATGTCCAAAATGGATTCCTCTCTTAGAAATACTTCTTGAGTGTTCTTGGGCTGAGTGCTAAGTGCATTATCCTTATGACGATGTAAAGCAGGAACCTGAGTGTCATGCCTGACTCTTCTTTCCATCACACATTTAACCAGCCGCTACATGTAAGTGATACTAGCTAACTCTTGGTAGTCTGAAAAGATGCCGGAGGCCGTTGACTTCTTATATCTTAACTTCTACTTCCACAGTCCAGGTGTGGTTAGCTCTCGTCTGGAAGATTTCCACAGCTTATAAACTGATTTTTTTCACTTTCTTTCTGATACTATGTAGTTGGCATAATCTTTTCTGAAAATGAAATGTCAGAGCTTTTGGCAGTTCCCCAATGCCTCAGGATTGCCTACTGAGCTCACTTTGCTTTAGCACAACATGAATGACCTGCCCCTTGCTTTTGTCTCCCTTGCACACTCTGGCATTTCAGCTATGACTGGGTAACAGCTGCTTGTGCATTGTCCGCTGTGTGTCAGATCCTAGGCTAGGTGCTCTGGATCCAGAGCAGTCCTGTCCTTCTGTGTTCCACGTGTTGAAACTCTGGTCACATTACAGTGGTAGAGGGGAGCCATCACAGTGGAAACCCTGCAAGCCTGACTTGTTTACTGTTTTAACTTTCCCAAAAAAGGGTGCTAACTATACTTGCAGCGTTGGTTCAAACCTCACTCAGTCTAGGGGACCTGCTGTGTGTGGTCAACATCAGTGCTTTTTCACACTAGTGACGTTTCTGTCCTTGCTTGAGAACTCTTTGAAAGCAGGCTTGGTCGTGTTCACTTTATTCCCAGTTCTTAGTTCTTGCCCTGTGTTGAGCATTCTTAGATTTGGATGAATGAATAAAAATAACCTTTACTTATAAAAGACCTCTGTAGTTGAAAATCCCCAAACCGTTAACTTAATGTGTTGTAGTAGATTTTTTTTTTTCTCAAATATGAACCTTGTTTTTTAGAGGTAAACAAGAAATTGAAAACTTGAAGGAAGAAGTTGAAAGTCTGAATTCTTTGGCTAATGACCTACAAAAAGACATCGAAGGCAGTAGGAAAAGAGAGTCTGAGCTCCTGATGTTCACAGAAAAGCTCACCAGTAAGAATGCACAGTTGCAGTCGGAGTCCAGTGCCTTGCAGTCACAGTTTGATAAACTTTCCTGTAGTGAAAGTCAGTTACAGAGCCAGTGTGAACAAATGAAACTGACAAATAGTACTCTGGTGAGTATAAATGTACACTAAGCTTGTAACAGAACGGAGTGAGAAGAAATACGTGTTAAACTGCCCTTACTGCGTAAATGGGCAGTGGTGCTTGGTTTAAACTCTCTTCCTGTTGGCACTGACGTTTGATCATTTCAAATGCTGTAAGACTTAACAGTTTTTCCTTTAAACTGATGTAATTAATAATACAATTTCTCCTTGAAGTAGGACTATTTCACTTTTGAGCTGGCATTTTGGTGCAGGAGGTTAAGCTGCTGCTTGCAGTGCTGGCCTCCCAAATGAGCACTGGTTGGAGTCCCAGCTACCCTGCTGTCTATCCTGTTGGCTCCTTGCTGATGTGCCTGGGGAGGCAGCAGAGGAAGGCCAAGTGCTTGGGCCCTACCACTGACATGGGAAATCCAGATAATGTTCCAGCCAGCTGGCTTCATGTTGGCTCAGTCTGTGTGTTGCAGCCATTTAGGGAGTGAACCAGTGGATGAAAGACCGCTCTCCTTCTGTCTGTAAGATTGCCTTTCAAATAAACAGCCTTTAAAAAAGGATTCCTCACTGGATTGTTACTTTTTTTTTTAAAAGATTTTATTTTATTATTTATTGGAAAGTCAGATATACAGAGAGGAGGAGAGACAGGAAGATCTTCCGTCCGATGATTCACTCCCCAAGTGAGCGCAATGGCCGATGCTATGCCGATCTGAAGCCAGGATCCAGGAATTTCTTCCAGGTCTCCCACGCAGGTGCAGGGTCCCAAAGCTTTGGGCCGTCCTCAACTGCTTTCCCGGGCCACAGGCAGGGAGCTGGGTGGGAAGTGGAGCTGCCGGGATTAGAACCAGCACCCATATGGGATCCCGGCGCGTTCAAGGTGAGGACTTTTAGCTGTTAGGCCATGCCGCCGGGCCCAGATTGTTGCTTTTTTTAAATGTGCTTTAACTTTTTATTTTTTTAGTAATTTAAAAATGGTTTACTAGTTTCGAGTTATGAGAAGTCCCAGTTACTCATAAAACAGTTTGGGTCTTCAGTCCAAAAGTTGAGAGACCTGTGACACATGTTGTTTTATGTGAGCAGAATGTGACAGTTGTTTATGCACTCCTTCCCTCACCATGTAAGAATTTGCAGGAGTTCATTTAAACTGAAGAGTAAAGATAGCTCTTCACTTAAAGGCCTTACGGTGGGACGGGCTTAGACTAAGAGCAGTGGTGTAAATAAGCCTACTAAGCTGGGTAGTGTTTGTTTCATTTGCTCTCCAGGAGTGTCGATTGCTAAAGGAGGAAGAGCTGCGTAAGGAGGAAGTGCAGGCCCTGCAGACCGAGCTCACTTGCAGGCAGGCAGAAGTTACAGCACTGAGTACCCGGGTGGAGGAGCTAAAAGATGACCTAGTCACTCAGAGGCGGAAGCATGCCTCTAGCGTCAAGGATCTAACCAAGCAGCTTCAGCAAGGTAAGAGATGCTGCCACACTCGGCAGGTTTCCCAGAGAGCAGGGAGTCCATTGTAGGTGCTGGCACAGTGGTCAGAGGCACATGTTTCTTTTAAGCGTGGTAATGCTCATAGATCAGATTGCTAAACTCACAGAGTTCCATGATCAGTCTGTCTTCTATACTAAAAAATACTTATTCACAAACACACAGTGTAAGAATTGAGAAGGTGGGCCTAGCATGATAGCCTAGTAACTAAATCCTCACCTTGTATCTGCCAGGATCCTATATGGGCTCTGGTTCATGTCCCAGCTGCTCCACTTCCCATTCAGCTCCCTGTTTGTGGCATGGCCTTAGAAAGCAGAAGTTGATGGCCCAAAGCCTTGGGACTCTGTACCCTGAAGAGGCTCCTGGCTCTTGGCTTTGAATTGGCTCAGCTCTGGCCATTGTAGCCACTTGGGTCGTGAGAGAACAAAGATCTTTGTCTCTCCTTCTCTGTATATCTGCACCTAAGGCATTAGTGTCTACACTTCTTTGATTACATATTTCTATTGGTAAAAGGTATTTAAATATTTATTCTCCATTTTATATGTGTTCATTAATATAATGTTTATTAGGGAAACATGGAAAGTAGAAATTTCAAAAGATTTATTTTTAATTTAAAGGTATAAATAAAAGTTCTCATAACTTTACCATATATATGTCCTTGTGGGTTGATTTGTACAGCATCTAGGGTACCTGGACCCTACCTAACTGCCCTTAAACTTAAAATTCCCTAACCTTCAGGGCAGTGGGTCACAGACCTGAAAGTTTATATATTTCCTGAGCAAGGTAACGGGCAGGTGTAAGTGGGACTCGGATATCTTTCATTGAAGAAGTCATTTAATTATTGGATATCTGTGCTATGGGCTTATGATACAAAGATGAGGAAGATACATATTCTAATCGTCTAATCACTGCTTTTTTGTTTAACCACTGTGTATTAAAATAGAGTAATAAAAATAAGAAGACTTAGGTGTTTACTTAAATCAGGTATTTGCTAGAAGAATTGAGTTCGGTTTTATGCATGTTATTGAAAGGAAATTTCTGATCTTGGAAGCATCTTTGGAATCTTTCAGAGACTGTAGTACTGCCTTTATAGTTTAGCATAATGTAGTGATGCCAGTATTAGTTATTACAGTGTTGTTTTCTGGTTTGGATTTGGCCTGTTCATTTCTAAATGTCATTTTATGTGAATAACACTGCTGGCCTTCTGTCTGAAGTAGTTATTGGGGCACTTGGTCATGATGTCTATTTCATTTTTGTAAAGATAACTTTATTAAAAATCAGATGAGGGACAAATGGCCATAAGTAATACATTTATTTTCCCTGTAGCACGAAGAAAATTAGAGCAGATTGAGAGTGGAAACTACGATAAAGAAGTCAGCAGCATGGGAAGCCGTTCCAGTTCATCAGGTAAGAAAAACCTGAACACTTCAGTTGTCGTTTGATCATTAATTACAAAGATAACCTTGTTTTGTTTTAGAAAATGTTGATATGCTTTGTTTCATTTTGAAGCATAAAAAAAAAGTCGTGGTAAAGAAAAAAAACCAGTGGTTCAGGGCAAGGATTTAGCCTGCTGGCATCTTGTCTGAGTGCCTGGTCTGTGGCCCAGCTACACTTCCTTACTGCAGCGTTCAGTTGATGCAGACCCCGGGAAGCAGAGGTGACAGCTGCAATGACTGGGTCACTGCCACTCATGTGGAAGACCTGGTTTTGGGTCGTGACTCGCAGCTTCAGCCCAGTGCCGTCCCAGCTGCTGTGGGCGTGCAGGCAGGCAGTAAATAGGAGCCCTCTTACCTCTCTGTCACCCTTCCTTTCAGAATTTATGTAAGTTAAAAAAAGTATAAAAGAACACTGATTGAATTATACTTGCTTAGATCCCAGCTTTGCCTTTTATTAGTTGCACAATTGTTTTTTAGATACATTTTATTTTTATTGGAAAGTCAGATACACAGAGAGGAGACAGAGAGGTACATCTTCTGTCTGTTGATTCACTCCCCAAACAGCCGCAACAGCTAGAGCTGAGCCAATCCAAAGCCAGGACCCCGGAGCATCTTATGGGTCTCCCACGCAGGTGCAGGGTCCCAAGGCTTTGGGCCATCCTTGGCTGCTCTCCCAGGCCACAAGCAAGGAGCTAGATGGGAAGTGGAGCTGCCAGGATTAGAACTGGTGCCCATATGAGATCCTGCTGTGTGCAAGGAAAGGACTTTAGCCACTAGGCTACAACGCTGGGCCCAGTTATACAAAATTAAATAAGGTATATTACTATCTTAAATCAATGAAATAAGTTATAAAAAATTATCTTTATGGTAAAGAGGATCAGAGAGTCTCCTTATTGCTGGTAAAAAATAAGAACTAGCTGTGGAACTCAGCTAGAGGACGTATTGAGTAAAAGGAGCTAGCTTGGGATGATTCATTTAAATGAGGATTACAATCTTGTGAGGCAGATGGTATTTTTGTTCCCAGTGAGATGCAGAGGCAGAGAGGTGACATGGCTGGCAACCTAGACAGGTGACTCCATGTCTGACTCCCCCAAATTCTGTCCCTCTCCTGTCCTCTCTTCTCTTGCACAGCCTATCCCCCCCTTTCCTGCTCCTCTGATTTTTTTTCTTTTCTTTTACAGTGTAATTTGGGTCTCATTTTAGACTTGTTTTTCTTGAAATCTTTGTTTCTCCAGTGCTGCTGCTTCATCCTGTTTGGGTGATGTAATAGATGGTTTTGGCACTCCCATCCTCTGTGCATTCAGAAATTCAGACACGTGTGATCCGCCAGTGTCTGGCTGTCTATGAGTGAATATTTGGACATCATACTGGAATAAATAATAGAGCGGTGGAATATATAAAAATGAGCAGTGGCTCTGGACTAAGTTTGGTGTCTAAACTCTTTTTGTTTTGTCTTCAGGGTCCCTTAATGCTCGAAGCAGTGCGGAGGACCGATCTCCAGAGAACACTGGGTCAGCAGGTGCTGTAGATAACTTCCCAGAAGTAGACAAAGCCATGTTGATTGAGAGGATAGTTAGGCTGCAAAAAGCACATGCACGGAAAAATGAGAAGATCGAATTCATGGAGGATCACATCAAGCAACTGGTGGACGAGATTAGGAAAAAGACAAAGTAAGTGTTGTGATAATACACAGTTGAAAATACTCTCACAAAAGTACTGTTCTCAAAATAATATTGGGAACCTTTCAGGAATTCTTCATTGGAGTCCCTCAGTTCCCAGTCTTATGGTTTTCTGTTAGGTTTCAGGTTTGAGAAAGATGAAAGAAAAGGTATGAAATGGAGACAGAAATGGTAAATCTTCTATGGGACCAAAACAACTTTCAGTTTTAAAGAAAGTTCTTTGCTTGCTTTGTTTTATTTTAATGACTGTAATGCAGAGAGACTGGTGAGGTTGAGGATGTTTTTCTTGTTGGGTAGGACATAGTGGTAGAACTTACTGGATACCTGCTATTATAAGGCCTGGTGCCAGTGGCTTAGAAACATCTCGCAGAGTCTGTCAATAGGCGGTGAGTTACCTGATTTTGCAGCCGAGTTAACTGAGGCTCAGGTCAGTCACTGACTCTGCAGAGTCATCCCTGTTCCTGTGAGTGATAGATGTCACACTGGAGACCCCAAGCCCGCCCTGACTGATGCCAGACCTTTCTGTGCCCAAATTCGCCCTCCAAATACCTTGCTGGGTTTTATTCCATGACTTTAAAATTTTTGTTTTGAACTAACAGGCATGCTGATAAGCTTTCTTATAACTTTCAAGGCACTCAGATACAGAATTCTAGGTTTAAAAGGGTAATGGAGAATATCAACGGAAGTCAGAGCACTAAAATAATTGCTCAAATGTGAGCATTCTGATTAAATTGGTCAGGAGCATAATAGCGGGCATTGTTTATATACCTTTACAGAACAAAAATGGGATAGTTGACATTTCTGTTTACTTTATTTGAAGAAATGAGATGGGAGTGTGGGAGAGAGCTTGAGAGCACTCAACTTGAGAACAGCTTCGTTTACTGGTTCACTCCTCCGACGAGTGCTGCAGCCAGGGCTGGAAGGTGGCTGGAAGCCAAGTGCGTGAATGTGTGCCGTCTCCAGGATGTGAGCAGCAGGGTTGGAAGTGCAGGGACTGGGACCTGATAAAGGAGTGTGGGCGTCCCAGCAGTGTCTTGGGCTAGTAAGTCAGACTCCTAGAAAGAAATCAACCTAATAAGGAAAATTCCTTTTTTTTATGTAGTTGATTATTAACCTAATAGCTATGTTTATTTTATGCTAATCATCTTTATGCTTCTGGTTAGTTTGTTCTTATAAATTCTGATGTTTTAAATTCAGCAGGTATACAGCTAGTAGTGTTGCTTTGTTTTGCAGAATAATTCAAAGTTACATTCTACGGGAAGAATCAGGGACGCTTTCCTCAGAGGCGTCTGACTTTAACAAAGTCCATTTAAGCAGACGGGGTGGCATCATGGCGTCTTTATACACATCCCATCCGGCTGATAGTGGGTTAACTCTGGAACTTTCTTTGGAGATCAATCGAAAATTACAGGCTGTTTTGGAGGATACATTACTGAAGAATATTACTTTAAAGGTATTTGTATTTCCCATTTCCTAACCAATCAGAAATATAGTCTGATCTAGTACTTAAATGGGTTATTTCTTAAGAGTTTTAATTTTTATTTATTTGAAAGGTAGAGACACAAGCTGAGACACAGACAGAGATCTTCTCCCTGCTGATTTCCTTGGCAACTGCCCATGATAACCAGGGTTGGCACAGCCATTATCTTTTACCTGCAAGATGTGCATTAGCCAGGTTCAAGAACAAAGCTGTGACTCAATTCAGGACTGATTTGGGATGTGGTGGTCTATACCAGACACTACCCCAAAGGTGCGCTTTTGTAAGCTAGTAAAGAAAGATGAGGAAACGGCAAAAAGCAGGTCTGTTAGTGGCTACAGGCCAAAGCCGGGACTGGCAACTCAGTTTGGGTCTTCCATGTGGGTGTAACAGACCACAGTGCGAGCCATCTGCTGCTGCCTCCTGGGGTGTCATTAGCAAGAAGCGAGATCAGAAGTGAAGGCCCTGCACGTTGAGCCCAGGTACTCGAGTATGAGATGTGGGCATCCCAGATGGCATCGGAACCACTTGGCCAAACCACTTGACTGTGGCGTTTGTGTTGTATTTTTAGCTTTAATTTTTGCAGCTTTTGTCTGATCAACTATTTTATTTCTGCTGTATGGGAGGCCTTGATAGTAATAGGTTTTTTTGTTGTTGTTGTTTGTTTTTTTAAGAAGGCTTATTTGGAAAACACAGATTTTTAAGGCACTGGGTCACTCTCCAAATGTCCGTAATAACCAGGGCTGGAACAGGAATCTCTCCTGTATGGCTGGCAGGGGTGCAGGTACTTGTAGCAGTCATCTGCTGCCTGCCCAGGCAATAGTAGCAGGAAGGTGGATCAGAAGGAAAGCAGCTGGGCCTGAGGCAGCTCCTGCTGCTGAAGCAAATAGTGGCCATCAGCTCACGGACACAGCACCAGCCCCAGCAATGGGTTTTTAAAAAATTATTTAAGAATCTAGTAATTGATCATTTTAGGTAATGCATAGTGCTGTAGCTTCAGTGAAATGATTAAGGATTACTTTGAAATAGACAGAGGCACTTGCATGAAAATACCTGAGTGTGTGTCTGGGTCACCTTGCATGGCAGTTAGGACTAGTTATTTATTCAATTTCAAAAGTTCTATGGGCAGAATAATTTAAACTGAACATATTCTTTACTAAGTAGTTTGTTTTCTCTTCCCCTTTTCCCCTCAATTATTAAAGGAAAATCTACAAACACTTGGAACAGAAATAGAACGTCTTATTAAACACCAGCATGAGCTAGAACAGAAGACAAAGAAAACTTAGTCCAACGCTCTTGCTGGGAAACAGACAAAAGCCACACAGGAGTAGGTGCCATTGCCAGTCGTGTCGGAAACTTTCCCCTGCTTTGTGTGTCAACCTGTGAAAGTCTGTTTTGCTCATGTGTATAAAGTGTCCCTTTACAATATGGGTGCATTGCTGTGTGTGCTGTGTGAGCAGGAGCTGTCAGGAGATCTGGGTGGCATCCCACACAGTCTGCTCATTGTCAAATGCTGAACGTTACCTCAAGGGCTTTGAAAACCTCTTCTCCATGTTTCTTCACTTTAAAATATACAATATCAAAAAGTGATTCAGCTCTTTAAAATCAAGCCAGAAAAGACAGGTGTCGATCATCCACAGAGGACAGTGTGGGCAAAACCAGGCACATTGAAGGAGTGTCTGGTATCAGGTCCTGACACTGTGCTAACATTGCAAGGATACATGTGACTGCTTGGGTTTTCTCAGATTTACTTTGATGAAAACCAAACTTCCTAGGAAAGCTAGCTGATAGTACCTGGCAGCGGTCAGGCATTGTGTGCCCCTGTCAGGATCTACTTACCTGTCATAGCTACAGTGATCAGATTTGGATTGTTTAATAGTTGAATTTTAAAAATCATTAGTTATTTAAAAATTTTAAATAATGTGTTCATTTAGCAGATTGCTGTGAGTTTAATTGTTTTAAAATTTGAAATGAATCCAATCATTAGAACACAATAGTGCAGAGTTGCTTGAAACTGAAAAACTTTGGTTTTACTGACATCATATGAAGATAAACATAATATTTAAGATATTAAGGACCCCAAGAGAAGCCAGCATATAGTACTGATAAGCATTTAATTTGGACACCATTCTCAACTGTGGATACAATTAGTACAGGGGAGTGAGCGTATAGTTCTTCCAAATAAATATTTCTGAGTGTTTATTTAAAAAACAAAAATAATTCTCTAACCAAAGGAATTTTAGAACCAAATGTTTGTACCTTTTTGGGTTTTTACAACATTTATTTAAGGGTACCCTTCCGTGTTGCTGCAGTACCAGTGTCTGTCACTGGCTTTTTTCTCACCTCCGTTAGTTTCTTGCCTGTTTAATTTCTGTGTGATTTTTCACATTGCATTATATTCAGATCTGTTCTAGAATAGGATACCTTAGCTTATGTGCAATTGCTGCAACAAGCCTTATTGTTTCATTTTTAATTTTTGCATCATTTTTTTCCCCCTTTAATGGAAGTACACTTTGGTGTGATACAGTGAAAGCTGTTAAGGAGTGTATGGGCTCCAGAAACTGGACTCGTGGTGACAATATCCTTTTACTGTTTTTCAACCTTTTTTTTTTTATCAACATTGTTTGAGAAGTCAATTTATTAAGGATTGGATGAATCACTGTAGTGTCTTTTCTTTTTTCTGTGTACTAAATTGTGTTGTCATCCATAAACGGATACCATCTTTTCATTTTAAAATGAAAGTACACTCAGAAAAAAAAGTTAAAAATAAAAATTTAATAAGTACACTCATATATTCAAAGATGTTTTATCTTTAAAAAATAGTTGTTGAAAGTGTTAGTCTGACCATAGTGTGTTGTTCTTTTTAATCAATAATTTATCAAAACAAAAAGTGGGTAAGTGCAATAGAAATCTGAATTTTATTTTTTCATTTATCTCTAGACATTGCTGACACTCCACAGGACTACTCAGAGTAGGCAACATCATTAAAAATGATATTGGTTCATAAATTAATTTTTTCTCCAAGGCACAAAATGCATAATGGAGACCAAACGTGATCAGATTCACAGTGTTCTATGCCTTGCACTTTAAAGTGTGTTTGCGTGTGTGTGTATGTGTGTGTGTGTACATTATTGCAGACAAAAAAATGGAACATTCCAGTATTATTGTTTGGGTCCCCATCTACTTGGAGAAGTTTAATAATGAAACCCTTTAGAAGATGATTAAAGACCATATTTTAAAATGGACAAATTTTGAAGGAAGTACATTTCAGTACACTGCTTTAGTATTTAAATAGATCAGCCCTGGCCGAAATAACATACAGAGTGAGCCTGCCTCCAGCACACCGTCTCGGCAGTGACTCCGACAGCACCTGCTCTGAGGCTGTGGAGGGCTGCGGCTTGGCTCTGTGCTGAGTGGAAGAGTGTCTGTAAAGGGGCATGCATGGTCTGGGGAAGAATTGTTTTATATGTTCATTATTATACACATCAAAGGTTGTGTGTGCGTACTTCACTATGTGTTCAAAATTGGATTCTTGCTGTGAATTCCTTTTTCCCATAGCACTTCAAATTTTTAGCCTGTTAAATTTTACAAAGTGATAAGTGGTTGAAAGGAAGAATAAGTTTGAGCTTTGATAGTGTGTTTTTTTTTTAAGGATTTTTTTCCCCCCAATGATTATTTCTTACCTTCTGTAACCATTTAAGGCAGGTTATCTTGGAATGAAATTCTGTCAGGCTGTCAACATGTTGCTTACACATTTACTAAACACATTAAAGAGCTGCTGCTGTTAGGCAACGTACAGTTACCACATCGGCCAACACAGCACACAGGACAGTCGGTTTCGGTTCCTGTGGGACTGATGTAAAAGCAGGAGCAGAGCTTTGAGTCTCTTGCTCACAGCCAGTGTCCATCCGTCTGGGCAGGTATGTGGCCCAGAAGTTTTGCACTGGCATAAACTTTTCGAAATTTGCATTCATGTGAAATTAAGCTGAGAACAATTTGCTATTTTCTTGGTAATTGTGCACGTTTCCTATCTTTTGTCACAGCAGAAGAAGGAAAGGAATCCAAAGACCACATTAAGCGACATGTTTGTACCGTTTTGCACATTCCCAAGCCCTCCTCGATGCTCATAAGGAAAATCCTGCTGCAGTGTTTCTAAACTTTGCTTTGCATTGTGTGGGGTTTTTTCTGATGATTTTTATGTAGACCACGCTTTATCAGTAGAAAGGAAAACGCCCATTAGAAAGCATGGAAATCATCAGCTTCATTTATGCTCCCCAGGTTGAGACAATTCCATTAATCATGTGACTCATGCCTTATGAATGTTGACTCCAGGAGCCTGTTTTACTGTAACTGTTTTATTCCTTTTTGACACTGAGTTGTTAATTTGTAAGTAACACCAGTTGGTGGCACTAGAAACCTCAGAATTTGCTGAAAAAGAAAAGAATCCAACATGAAGTTTTCAGGAAAATAAATGAAAAAATATAATTGTAGACTTAAAATGTATTTTTCTTCTGGAATGAAATTCTTTTTTTAAATGCATATGGCTGTTCATTTAGACTGTGATGATGGAACTTGTTTATCTTCCAGAGTACATATATATATGTGCATTGTGTAGATAATCTTTGATTACACTGTTCATTTTGTAAATATGTTTCTGTATAAAATGAAGCTTTTCAGAAGGGTTCTATGTATATATATATATTATTAAATAGATAATGCCTGTTTACCACATTGTGTTTTCATGTTTGTAATTTCTTGTTTAGATGCCAAACTTGCTAAACAGACAGAGCTTCAGACTGTTGGTGAGGATACCTCCAATTAATTGATTTTTCTTTTTAAATAACACTGGAAATTTTGCCTTCTGTGTTTGTCTTGATTCTACCAGTATGATTGAAGTCATGATTACTGATCAAAGAATAGTAGTAAACAGATTTAGTTGAATGTCAGGTTATATTTTGAATTTTTGTTTAGATTATTCATAGAAAAATATGGCTCTTTAGAAAGAATGCTAGGCTAACAGTCATGTGAAATAAGTCAGTGATGCGTTATTCAGGTTTTTCACAAAATTGGGGAAGTAACTTGGCCACATTGTCTGGCTTTAATAATAACCAATGATGTGCTAAAATGGCACACATCCCATCAAGTTAAAAAGTATGCTAAATGTTTTACACAGTGTTTCTCACTGCTCTTAAGCATTCTGATATTCTTGGGCTATAGCACAGAACTTAGTGAGGTCTTCGTTGGAAACAGTTTCCTGAAATCAAGATCCATGGGCTAAAGGTGAAGCCGAAGAGGAAGCTCTCCTGTCCTTCATGAGCTTGCTGTCAGCTGTGAGGTAGAAGGGAACAACGAGGAAGGGCTGATAAAATTGTGCAGAGAGGCATTAAGGGATTTATGATTCTGAATTAGGCGCAGGTAGTGGGAACCTAGAGATTCGAACTGGGAGGAGATGGTAGTTAGGAAAAGAAATCTTTTTAGCAGTGTCTTTCGATTCTACCGATATTTGGACAGTCATTTTTTCCCTCAATTTGTGCAGTTGTAAAGGTCATTTTACCCAACAGGCTTGTTTTGTTTTTTCCAAAGTCAACTTGAATTAACTACCACAGCGTGCTTACCCACACAAGCAGCCCAAGGGCGCCCTTGGCTGGTCAGTGCCTGGCCTGACTTTCAATGACTATGCATCAGCTTTCCATCATGAAATAGCTGAGGCAACTAACTGTGTAAAGAGGAAAGGTTTAGCTCATGATTCTGAAAGTCCAAGTTCAATACTGGTGGTCTCTGGTTGGCCTCTGATGAGGGTGACTGGCACGAGTGGTGGAGGCTGTGCAGAGGAAAGATCACCTGGTGAGCCAAGAGGCCCAGTGAGCCATGTCAAGCCTTACAGCCAACTGCGCAGCCATGGCCCCTAGACGCTCCACATCACCATTGCATTGAGTTTCCACCCCCCTAGCACCTGAACCGTCAGACTTTGGCGTATACACGTCTGTAGGAGTTTGTGAGCCAATTAGGATTAGAAGCCAGAGCAGTGACCTGACTCTGGGCTTTTTGCATCTGATGCGCTGGTCATTGCCAAGTTAAATTTAAAAGGAAAAAAAAAAAAAACTCAAGGTGTTAGGAAGCATTAAGAAATAATTTTTTATTTCTGAGGAATTTCTGCTTTTTATTGCAGTAATGGAGGTAGGATGTTAAATTGCTCAACAAACGAGACTCTGGGCTGGCACTGCAGTTCAGCAGCCTAGACTGCTTGTCATGCAGGCACCCCTCATCAGAATACTCATTCCTGTCCTGGCTGCTCCACTCCCAGCACAGTGTGCCTGGGAAGGCGGTAGGAGGTGGCCCATGTGCTTGGACCCTTCAGCCCATGTCAGAGAACAGGTTTGAGTTCCCTGTCCTGGCTCCAGCCTAGCCCAGATCTATTAGCCATCATTTGGAAAGTAGACCAAGATGGAGAGCAAATGCAAGATGTTGAAACAAAAAATTTCTCTGTCCTTTCTTGTTCTACATTTCAAATAACCTTTTGAAGAATTTTTTATGAAGGCATCTCTGATACCTAACTTGGTACAAAATGGTTCTATTCAAAGTTGAGAATGTCCACTGAAACACGAAGCTGAGTTGGTTTATTGTCAACATGTAACATGCAACGCAGGAAATACACACGCATTGGATACTGGAATTAGCATCTGCGTTGCGTGTCTCACCATGTAGGTTTTGTTTTAATAACTAATGAAGGGGTCAAGGGCAGGAAGTACAGTGTGTTTATGTTTTCAGCACCTTCCTGCTTTGCTTATTACAAGATAAAAACCATTTTAGCCTGCCACACTGCCTCATGCTCTTCAGGCTGCTTGCTTCCCCAGGACCCTCAGCCCTGTGCAAGAAGCACTTCGGGGGTGTGTTGGGCTCCCACTGGCACCGCTGCAGATATAGTCTTCCTGGTCCTCAGTGCCAGCATATCCATGACAAAGTGTGTTTTGGGTTTTGAACGAACTTGCTTCTGGATTTTGTATTTTACATTAATTTGGGGTGAGTGTGGAGCCGGTTTTAGGGAGAATAGGTTGGAAAGGGAAATACAGCTGGCATCTCTGGAATTTAGATTTCTTTTTTAAAAAGATGATTTGAAAGGCAGAGTTAGAGAGAGTGGCAGAAGCAAGGAGGCAGAGAGATCTTTTTTCCTTCTGTTGATTCTCTTGCCAAATGCCTGCAACAACCAGAGCTGGGCCAGGGTGGAGCCAGGAGCTTCATCTAGGTCATTCAAGTGGGTGCAGGGTCCCAAGTAGTTCAACCATCTTGTGCTGGTTTCCCAGGCACATTAGCAGGGGGCTGGGTTGGAATGGGAACAGCTGAGATTAGAACCAGCATCCATGTAGGGTGCGAGGCTTAATGCACTTGCTGCAGCACTGGCCACTGAAATTCAGAATTTTTTTTTTCCTAATTTTTATTTTTACTGGGAAGGTAGATTTACAGAGAAGGAGAAACAGAAAGATCTTCAGGCACAGTTTCACTCCCCAGGTGGCCACAACAGCTGGAGCTGATCCAATCCAAAGCCAAGAGCTTCTTCTGGGTGCAAGGTCCCAAGGCTTTGGGTCGGTTTTCTGCTTTTTCAGGCCTCCAGCAGGGAGCAGGATGGAAAGTGGAGCAGCCAGGACACAAACGTGTCCATATGGAATCCCTGGCGTTTGCGAGGTGAGGATTTAGCCATTGAGCCATTGCGGTTTGCCTGAAACACAGAATTCTTAAACTGTCTTAAAATTTTTTGAATGTATGTATTTCAAAGGCAG